GCCAACATTTGTTGTTGCTAGTTGTTTGAAGATGTGCCATTCTCACTGGGGTAAAAAATTAGGTGTCCATAAACCCCCTTTGAGTTATTTTTAACAAATGAGATAACTCAAATATTCAAGCATTTAAAAAAAAAAAGGAGGAGGAAATTCTATGGGTGACAGTGTAGATGAACCTCAGGGACATTACAGTAAGTGAAAAAAGGCAGAGAAAGACAACACTGCATGGTCTCACTCATATGTGGAATCTAAGAGAGACAAAGACAGGAACTTTCAAAGGTGGATCACCATGGAGGGAGGGATGGATGAAACAGGCAGATGGCTGGTCAAAGGGTACAAACTGTCACTTGCAAAGAGTAAGCATGTGACTACAGCTAACAGTAGCGTATTATGTCCGTGGACGCTGTTGGGAGAGCAGACGTCAAATGTCTCACCACACACACAAAGCAGCTATGTGAGGTGATGCTGTGTATTAACTGGATGCGGTAACATTTCACAATGGCCATCTACACTTTAAATATATACAGTTTTGTTGATTTATACCTCAGTAAACCTGGGAGACCCCCAACATCTTTGCCTCCAGTGGAAGATGGGAATTTGAAGGTGGTCGCTTGGGACATTTTGAGGTTTTACATAATTTTCTCGGGCAGCACCCATGTATACAAACTTGGATGGGAAAATGATTTCTTCTCCCTACAACCCATTATTCCTGTGGCTTCTGAGCACTTGATAGGTAGGTAGTTGTGTTAAAGTTTACTTAAGTGTAAAATATACACCCACTTCATATGAAAAACATAAACCATCTCATACTATGTCTCCTATCAATCACATGTTGAAATAATAATGTATCAGGTTAAATAAATTCTGTTATTAAAATGCTTTTTAAGGGCTCCTGAGTGGCCTAGGGGTTAAATCTCAGTGCTGTCACTGTGGACGACTGAGGATGGCCTGAGTCTGATCCCCGCCCTGGAGGTGACCCACATGGTGCGGCAGACCTCTCCTGACCCGCCTGCTTCTCCCCTCAGCAGTGTACTTCATCAATCTGCCTGTTCTACTCCCCACTCTGTCTCTGGTAAAGCAATTTGCTGCCCTTGCACCTCTGGCCTGCACCCCAGTTCTGTATGCATAAATAAATGAATCTTTAAAAAAATGTTTTTTTAAGTAATAAAGATGGGTGGGAATAAAAGGTACAACTCTCTCTCCCCAAATTGTGAAAAGTCAATTTTACCTCTGTACCATTTCAATGTCACTGATCCAATTATCTTTACATTCTCCCTGAACATCTTTACATTCTCCCTGAATATCCCTACTTATAATGAATGAAATGACACCTTTAATATATATTCATGCTCCATCAATAAAAGCATCATGACTTTTTTTAGTGTCTGAAATTGGCCTTGTAACACGCCCTGTTTGCAAGTGCCTCAGCCTCCAGCTCCAGATTTTGATGCTGGTTGGGCCTTTGCCAGGCTCACCGTCATTCTCTTTCCCTCCCCTCCACACCCCTCAACACACTCCCAATACATTCTTTGAAACTACTCAGACAAGTTCCCTCGGGATCACCCAGTTGGGGTTAACAAGTGGAGTGGGTGGCAAGGATGTTTGTCGAGTTAATGAATACATTGCCTGCCTAGGGAACTCCTACTCACCCTCTGAAACCCAGCCCCAATGTCCCTCTCCCCTTCAGAGCCTTCATTCCCACTCTGGGCTCTTGCCCATCTTGGCCCCCAGGGGAATGGTGATGTCTGACCGCCTCTGCATCCTTTTCCACAAATACAGACTGAGGGGGCTGTACGACAACATCCAACGGTTTATTAAAGTTGTTTCAAAAATATAGCACCATTCTCAAGAGGCAAGATTCTTGATCTTGGGGCAGAATTGTGAGTTGGGGCTTCACGGAATGTACAGAAGTTATCCAGAAGACGAGCAGTGAGTGGCTGGTGAAGAGTCGGGCGGGGGTGCCCAAAATGGGGCACATGGGCTCTTACTTGAGGCACACTTCCCTGGAGGAGGGGGCTGTGACTTGGCAGACATCTGGCTTCTCACCCTGGAGGGGAGAGTTCTGAGTTACGGTCTTGGCGGAAGACCCCACCATCCACCAGCTGAATCCTGGCTCCCCTTCCAGTTTACCTGGTACAACTGGCAGACCACAATCAGGAGATGGCTCATATCATCCAAGGGTTTCTACACAAAGCGAGAAAGGAGACCATATGATCCCTAGCCAACTAGGGTGCCTGGCTTGGGGAAGGCTGCAAGTGACCCCACGTTTGGCCCCTGTCTCCCGCCTCCCAGACAAGAGGGGGGATTCCTGCCCAGGCCTGCACTGAGGGTTCCAAGAGTTCTTACCCCATTGACGACGACCCAGGGCACATATCTGTGGGGTGGCTGCAGAGCATCGGTAAGTTGGGCGTTGATGTGCAAGAGCTGTGTGCCACGCTCCCCCACTGCACACTGCATGATGGTGTCTGGGGACACTTTTGGGGCATAGAGGTGCAGGCACTACGGGTAGGGTGGGGGGTTGCTGTAAGCCAGCGCCTTGCTTCAGCTTCAGCTTCCTCCCCATTATCTCCCCAACGGTCTCCCCGGTTGACTCCCCCAGCCAAACTTCTCTTTCCTCATGAGCTACAGGGGACAGTTAAGGTTTACAGCAATGTAAGAATTCTCACAAACCTAAGATGTCTAAGACAGTCCTGACTGGAGGCCCCAGCAGCAGAGGTCCAGGCTGCCCCCACCAGCCCAGCAGTTCCTGACACCTACATTGTCTCGTTTTCCTCAGAGCTTCCACACATGCTGCTCCCTTCACCAGAAATACCCTTCCTCTTCTGTCCCCATCATCTCCTGAGTGCTCCCTCCTCTGCATTTCATCAGCACCACTATGACTCTGCAGGGCTTGGGGTACCTCAGGGCGAGGCATCTTGGGTGGCCTGGATGTTTGATGAATGAATAAATGATCAGAGCTAGTGAGTCACACTTTTGGGAATTCTTTTTCACAATCCTCCAGGCCTGTCTTGTCACCCCTCAGAGAAGAGTGAGCACCTGTGTTCCCATATGTTCCTGTTTATCCAAGCCCATCTTCCTCCAGGAAGCCCTCCCTCATTTTCCCATGCCCTGGGAAATTTTCATTTCCTCCATTCTAAGACTGATACTTCAAAAGGGAAGGCTATTTTCCTGGGGCTACAGAATGGTGTTTGGAGTCAGGATTCGAACCCCGATTTGAATGGATGCACAGAGGCCAGGCTCCCCATCCTGGGCCCAGTGAGGGTAGTGCTTACCGGCTTCAAATAGCGTTCAATGTCCACCATTTGTTCCATGCAAACAATGGTCATGAAGGCCACAGTCTTGTCTAACTTGTCCAACAGGCAGGCCTGGGGGTGGATGGGCAAGGACATAAGAGGGGGGTCCAGAGCACCCTACGATTACTCCAAATAATCACAGTTACCCACTTATGAAGCAGTGCATAAAGATGTGGTTAAGTGGAGGCATGTGGGCAGAGGATGGGGCTGGTTCCACCAGGGTTTTCTCAGTCTTGGTAACGCTCGCCCATCCCCACCCTCCTTTATCCCTCCCCCACGTCCTCCTCCCCCCCAACCCACACGTACCTCCACCTTGTTTAGCTTACACTCCAGATCACCATGCTGACACTTGAACTCCCACCTGCCACTGACGTTGTATTCCTGCAAGGCAGGGGGTTAAGGTGCGGGCTGGCCCACCTGGTGGCCACTTCCCTGAATGTAGGCCTCTGTTTCCCCTGCATCCACACACCTGGGCGTTTCCGTAAGGCACCAGTGTGACATTGAGGATCTCCATGACCATCAGCCACGTAGGGAAGAGCTCTCGGAAAAGGAAGTACTGGCAGCCGGGGCACAGAGCTTCATAGTAAAGACTCACGCTGACGGGCTCTGGGTCGGACTTCCAGCGGGGCTGCAGCAGACACAGGTCTCCATCCTGCTCAGGAAGAAGGGTGTGAAGCTAGTGGTGCTCCTGGACAAAGGGAGCTGCCAACAGTGTGTGCTCCATTTTGCACTCCTTCTAGAGCTTGCTAGGAATTCTTACAGTGGTTCCCTGGTTCTCCCTAAATCTCAGTCTGTCTGCAAAACAAACCTCACAATGATTTGCAAATAGACACTTCATGTACATAGGTTGTGCAGCTCTGTTCCCTCTGGGTGAGGGGAAAGCCCAGCCTGGGGGACTGTTCGCAGAAAGGACTCAAGGCCCGTGGCTGTTCTCACCAGAGAGGAATGTGTGCTTATTAGTTGCCACTTGTTTCCAGCTCCTGGAGTTGAGTTCAGCAAGCCCTAGACTATTTATTCTTGCTCTCAAGGGGCCCACGGGAACCCCTTCCAAGCCTTACTGCAGAGGCACACCTAGTGCCCTCCGCGTTCCGAGTGGCAGGTGGCCAGAGCCTGTGGCACTGTGAGCAAGTGTCCCAGCCTTCAGAGCATCTGCTTACTCCACACCAGAAATGCCAGCTCTTTCCTGGCCCCCATGCATACTGTGAGTGGCACTTAAAGAGTGGCGGTGGCCGCAGGCACTGCTTAGCTTGTCTGAGCTTCCTCCCCTGGCCCCAGAAACCATGACTCCAGCTCCAGGGCCCCAACTGTACACAGTAGGTGCTCAGTGTGCCTCGGGGTGGGGAGCGCAGGGACAGGCTGGGCGCAGCTGATGGCACGTGAGGAAGTCTGGACATGGAAAACTAAAATGACTCAGAGCGGCCACAGAGCCTGGAGGGTAAGTGGGGAGTGAGCGTGGGGGTATTTTGGCACCGACTGGAACCATATCTCAGCCCCATCTCTTTGCCCACAAATCTGGAGACAGGGGAGGAGCCGCTGGCCCCACCCCCACTCCCACCCCAGATCGTTGTCCCTACCTTGCAGGAGGCCACCCCCTTTGGGAGTGTTTCCAGACGGGATGCCCAAGCGCCCTGGGGAGTCTCCAGCAGCAGCAGCAGTAGCAGCGGCAGGACTGCTGTGAGCCGCAGGGAGCAGGCCATGGCGAGGGGCAGAGGTCCCGTGGCGGGTTCCTCCCGGGGAAGGAGCTGCCTTTAAGGCGGCGGCGGCCCGCCCCCAGGCAGGACGGCCTCCCAGTGCCCACGCCTCTCCTCGGGGCGGCCAATTCCCAGTGAGCGCTTCTCTCTGGGTGGGTCTCCCTTTCAGACCGCCTGCTCCCCCCGCTCACGCGTGCCGCTGCGGGGTGGGGGGGGGCCCATTCTGGAGGCGCCAGCAGCCTGGACCCAGCCCCACCTCTCCAGGTCAAAGAGCAGGAGTTGGTCACAGCACCCAGAGGGAGGTGAGGGCCGGAGGTGAGGCAGAGGCTGCATAGACAGAGATGACAGGTCACCTCGTGCTCACCGACCCTTCTGGGGGTGGTAGGAGTAACCCAGTCTCCCTTCTGGCTCTAGACTAGGGACCCCCAGTTCCCACCCTGGACTAAAATGGGGAGCCATCCCCTGAGAGCAGACCCCTGCCTCCTTGTCTGGGCCCTATCACTCCCAACATACCCCCTGCCCCACAAAGACCTGCCCTCCCTCCTCCCCTTCTCAGGCTCCCTGGGACCTACCGGAGCAGACTGAAAAGACTGACTCAGGCCTGGCCAGAGCTGGATCAGAAAGCAGAAGCCAGAGCTGGGATGGGTGCCTGAGTCTCTTGCTTCCACCCACCCCCTGCTGGAGTGGGGTGGGGGGGGAGGAGAGAAAAACTGGCATTCCTGCTTTCCTCAGTCCAAGGCTGGTGTGATGGTGGAACCTCAGAGAGCTCTCTTGGTGGGAGAGCAGCCCAGTTCTAATAATTAGAGAGAGTTTGTGGGAGTTGGGAAAGTAGGATGCAAACAGCTAAGTCAACAGACAGGGCTTTGCCCCTCCCCTCCCCACCTTGGGCAGGGCACCTCAATTTCCCCTTTTGTAAGGTAGGACAAAAAAGTTTGGAGAATGAACCACTCAGGAGCAAAGGAGGGGGTGCTAGGTGGGGTGGCACAGCGGGGCTTGGGATCTTAGTATTCTGTAGGGTGTTGGGGAATGAGGGAGCCCTTCAGATTTTGCAGGACCCCACTTTGGATATAATGGGGGGGGGAGGGCTGGGCCCCAAGGAGATGGCAGTACAACCCTTCAGATCAGCAGCTGCAACTCCAGGGCCAGGGAGGCCTGCAGTGTGTCCATGGGGAGGAAGCTGGGGAGCTGGCCTTTTCCTAGTGCTGGGCTGGAGAACAAGTGCACCCTTCCTCTTAGCCTGTAACAGACTGAGCAACACAGCTTCATGAAGCTGGCGCGCGCCCATGCCAGGCAGGCAGGAGTTAACAATACAGTTTCCCAGGAGTTATTAGGCACCGAGTGGATTCCTCAAGAAGCCTCAGGACTCTCCCATGATGGGGTTCCCAGGCAGTCCTAGGGTAGGGGCCCCAGCAATTGACTGCTCAGTGATACGGAAAACAATGACTCTGAGAGAACACAAGAGTTTGGAGTGCTGTTAGTGCTAGTGCCCAGGGTCAGCAGCTTGGGGCCATGGGCCCAGTGACCTTCCTCATGTCTGTTCACACCACAGGGTGGGCTGCTTGAGGCTCCTCGCTTCCAGGGGAACGCCTGCCTGGACATGCAGTGGGCACAGTGCTTGGGGAGGCTGAAGGACCCGTAAGTTCCTGTAGCTGTGGGCCTAGCAGAAGAAACAGGTCAGGGGCAGCTGCATTTCCCAGGGGCAATGGGTTGGCCAGAGGCAGGCTAGTGCTGTGCGGGAAGAGTGGAGGGCAGAGGACCAGTAGCTTGGATTGGGAGGATGGTAGGCAGCCTGGGTCAAAGTCATGGTGGGCACTCAGCTCAAGGCCCCAGTGGTGGCAGGCGAGATACGGAGGGGGTCAGAGTAGGGGTTGGCACTGAGGACAGCAAGGCCAGGGTGCTCCTCTGGGAGGCACAGGAAAGGTAACCAGAGATCCCCACTGGCAGAGGGGAGGGCAGGGTCCAGCTGGCAGCTGAGGGCTGCTCTCTGACCTCCAGCAGCTTTCTCAACCTCAGGACTCCAGCAGCTAAAATGGGGGTGAGGGGCGTTAGCCTTCCTCAGTGGCCTGGAGCAGAATCCCCAGCTCAGTCCACAGGAGCGCAGGAGACCCAGGACCCACAGTGACAGACCAGTCCCACCGTCGCCAAGAAAATCAGCCACTGCAGTCAACGTCGTACTGCGTCTGATGTTTATATCCGTATCAATATCAACGTACCATACAAAATCCGCCTGCCAGCCTGGCCTGGCAAGGGATGGGGGGGGGGGTGTCTGGGGGCGCTGTAGAAAACCAGGCTCTCATCCCAAAAGAGGAGAGAAGAAAGGGCTTTACAGTCAAGGAAAAGTAAAACCCAAACCCGACGAGGGTGAAAAGCGCGGACTCTGCGTGGCGTGGCCACAGGCACCGGCGTGGTTCGTCCTCCACTTGGGGGGCCGGGGAAGGCCAGGTCAGCCCACTGGTTTATTTCTGTTCTCTTTCTGGGGGAATTCTCAGCAACTGGGGGATAACCCAGCGGCAGGTTTCACTTCGGGGTTTGGAGGGGAAGTTGGGGTCTGTGGGGCGGGTCCCGCCCGGCCCCGAATGTCAAGCAGAAGCTCTTGGAAGCAGCTGAGTGAAGTTCCTTCCTGCCCAGACCCCTGGTCTATGGCTTAAAAATTGGGGCACCCAGGCTGGGGCCACCAGCCCAGGGGCCCCTGTAAACATGGTGGATGCAGCCAGGTGGGACTCCAGGAAGCCCGGGGCCTGCGGTGGGCAGTGCAGAGTCGGGCGGCTGAGGGAACGGCAGTGCCCATGGGGGAGGAGGCCGGGGGTAGGAGAGGTGGGACCCCCAACACGGAGACAGGACAGAAATCAAGAAAGGGAAGGAGAGAAAAGGACACAGAGCTCAAGAGAAACTGAGACAGAGAAGAGAGGGAGGTGGGGATACAGAGAGAGACAGGCAGGCAGGCGTAGAGAAGAAACGAAAGGAAGGTAGTTACAGAGAGAGCTGGAGAGAAAAAGAGAAAAGACAAGAGATTCCGAAAAGGAAGCTGGAGAGGAAAAAGAGACGGGGAAAGCCGGGTGAAGAGGACAGATGAACAGACGGAGGTGGAGACACGGCTGGCCTCGGGGGTGAGCTGGTCAGCGGGTGGCGGGCGGGGGCCCGGGGCCAGGGGCGCGCACGGGGTGGGCCAGGGTCACGGTGAGGGCGTCGTTGTGCTGCACCAGCGAGGCGTGCTGGTAGTGCAGCACCAGCTCCTTCAGCGACCCGTACAGGTTGTAGGGCTCCGCGAAGCCGAAGCCCGTGGCTGTGCGGTAGATGACGCAGTGCTTGGTGTCGCCGTCCACCCTGCGGGCGTGGGCCGAGGGCGGTCAGACGGGTCCCCCGGCCCGCCCACCTCCCTCAGGGGTGACCCTTGCCAGGACTGGTATCTTCCCATTTCCTGCACCCCACCCTGATCAGGACCCCCCTGGATACTGTCGCGCTTCCTCGCCTGTCCCCAACATTCCCCTCTCCCTCTGGCGGCCAGGTGGCTCATTTCTAGGCTTCCTGAGGCACAGCCGTGCTCAGTGAGAGCTCTGGAGAGTGCAGCTTCCCTCAGCCCTCAGACCACTCCGCACCCGCGAGCACTCACACCACAGAGCAGGCGTAGCAGCCCCGCTGGCTGCTCTCACGGATGAGGAAGGTGCCATCCCGCTTCCCACTCAGCATTTCCTCAGCCTGGGTGCGGTTGATCTTGCCCACATACCACGTGCGCTCCTCGTGGTGGGGAAGGTCGTCCTCGTCCTCCATCAGTGCATACTGGCTGCACGGGCGGAGGGAAGGGCCCTGGTCACTCACCCACCAGCCTCCCAGGACCCCTGCTGCCTGGGGAAACTCTCTCCCGGGTGACCTCCTACTCGTTTTTTTTTCCAAACCCCCCCAAGGCCCTTCCCCACAGATGGCCACTCACTCTTCAGTCTCATTTTTGATCCCCAACCACTCATTGATTTTCTTCTGCCGGGCACCTTTCTGGGTGAGCCACCTGGGGAACAGAAACAGTTGGCTGGCTGGGAAAGGAGGCAGCAGCAGAGGTAGCCCAGCCCGCGGCAGGTCTGTGTGGGCTCCAGTGACGCCTCACAGCTGCCACAAGGGGTCAGCCTGGATACAGGAGGGACCCCCAGCTCTGCCAGGGAACCTCCCATTTATTATTCTGTTTCAAGCTTCCAGAGCAAGCCCTCCTGTAGATCCCTCAGTTCTGGGGGCTGCATGCTGCCGGCCTTCGCCTAGGGTAGCTGTCCTGGAGCGCTCTGGAGAGGACAGCATGAGAGAATGTGTGCGGAGCGCAGCAGCGGTTCACGGCGTGAGGGAGCTTGCCAGGGTCTGTAAGGTCAGCAGGCAGAGGGGGGATCTGCACACTCTGGGAGTGGGTCCTGTTGGAGGCCCCAAGGACTCAGCCCTGTGGGAGCAGCACTCCCGTCACAGACTACGAGGCTGAGGGGCCCTGGAAGAGCCCACCGGGGGCTGGGCAGGGCAGGGCAGAGCGGGTCTGGAGGAGAGGGAAGGGGCTCCTGGCCAGGTGAGGGGCTTCAGGGTGAGGTGGGCTACTTGGTGGAGAAAAGGAACGCGACACCTGCAGAAATGAGGTCACAGAGGCTCTGCACTGATGGGGACCGCCAGGCACAGAGCAGGCACTCACACGAGGTACTGGTCTCGGATTTTGCGTAGCTGCATGAGGTCCGGCTTGAGGCTATTCATGCGCTTGTCGATCTCCCGGTTGTCTGAGGCCTGTGCCCGCAGCTCCTGCTCCAGCTTGGTGCGGCTCTCATGGATCTCAGCAATGCGGGACTTGAGCCGCTCCGAGTTCAGCAGGATCCTGTGGGGGGAGTGGCTCAGAGGCTGCAGCTTGTCCCCAGTCTTTAAACTCTGAACATGCCGTCTCTACAGACTTCTTTTCCTGGCAAACTCTTCCTCAAAACCCATTTCAACTGACCTCCCCCCCAATGGAACTCGGCTCGGCCCTCCGATTCCTTCCTTTCCCCAGGTGCACTGCACCAGATCAGGGGTGGGTGAGGCACAGGGACGAGACTCACCTCTGCATCTCTTTCTCATTGCCCTCACGCCGAAAGCGTTCCAGATACTCCTTGCTGCACTTCTCTTGAGTCTGGCCCTGCTCTTCAAAGATCTTGATGGTCTCATTAAAGGCCTCGATTGCTGTGCGCTTCATCTGCAGTTCCTGGAGGAAGGTGCGAGCCTCAGCACCTCCTGGAACTTTCTGCAAGTCTCTCAGGAGCAGTAAAGGCAGACCCCAACTCCGATAGGGAGACTTTGCTTAGGCCAGGCACACCCACCCTTTAGATCCTGATGAACTGCATGAATTCCTACTGATCTTTACAACCTTTTTAAGATTGTCTTTACAAACACCTGCACCTCTTAGCACTGCTGAGAACAAACGATAAGTCTAGCTGCTTCACGGGGCTCTTTCTTGAGGCAGATGCTATTAATACAACAACTACTTCCTAAGGCTTCATCTCGTGAATCTCCTCGGAGCTTCCTAAAAAGTCCGACTATTTATAGGTAAGCTGAGGCTCAAGGGATCGAAGTCATTTCCCAGGTCACCATGATGTGAACTGACCCCAGCCAGGTGTCTTGTCCACTCAGTACCTCAGCTGACCCATCAGTATAAAGGGACAAGAAAGTAAATCCCTGGGATGAAGCAGTTCTTAGCCTAAGACTGGACAGTACATCTGAATAAGCTGCATTGCGACTTGCAAGAGAAGCTTAATAAAACCCTGAACACAAAGCCCCTCCCCTTCTTTCCTGTGGCCTCCTGACCCTCTTGTCATTCAACCCTTTGTCAGTTAGTATTGTCATTTTGAGTAACATTCTGGTCCAAAGGGATGGAGAATAACTGAGACCCACATTTCCAGTGTACAGGTGGGGAATCTGAAGTCCAGAGAGGCGCGGACACCTCCCAGCTCCTAGGTTCCACGCCCAGGCTGGTCGGCACCCCTCCTCTGTCCTTTCTCCTTCCCCCGCCCTCACCTCTGTCAGCACCACGTGCATTTACGCCTTTAGACCAGTGCCCAGGGCTCGATGCCTCTTTGTGACGGAGAAACAGACGGAGTCCCTATGGCCTCCCACTGGCCCGCGGCCCTGGTTCCCACCTGTGTGCAGGCCGTGGCAGTGGGGTGGGTGGTGTGCGCCTACCTGGGAGGTGCGCGTGTACTCCTCGTAGAGCTGGTCATACTCGCGGCTCTTGTCCTGGTACTGCTGGTGGTAGACTTTGAGCTGGGCGCCCACTGCCTCCACACTGTCCTCCTTGACGATCTGGTCCTGGGGATATCGGTACGGTCAGAGAAACCACCTGGGAAACAGGCCCCCGCTGGCCAGGTGCTGCCCTCCCCAGCTCTCGCCCCTGCCCCAGACCTGCTGGTACTTGGACACGGGATACAGCAGTCGTGTGTCCAGTTTGGCGTTGTACTGGGCCAGCGACTCGTGGCGGTAGTGGGTGATGAGGTCCACCACGGAGCAGAAGGTGAGGGGTTCCGAGAAGCCGTAGTGCCCATCTCGATGGAAGACCTTGATCAGCTTGTTGTTCCCACCTTTCCTAGGGGCGGGTGAGGAGGCCCGTCAGCCAGACTCCCCGACCTCCTGTCCTTGCGCCACACGCATCGCACTCCGCAGCCCTCAGTCCTGACCGGGGAGCGCTCCCTCCCACCTCTCATCCCGCTACCCATGGGAGCCTGGCCCCTACCTGAGGGTCAGCGTGTACTCCCCCTGGATCTTACTGGATGCATCTCGGACCAGGAAGGTGCCATCAGGTGTGTCCCGGAGTTTCTCATTTACCTCCTCCCTGTGGGGACACCCAGGATGGGGCCACGTGCCAGAGGCCCTGCCCAGTGTGCGCCAGCCCACCCTGCTCGCCTGTCTTACCTGGAGATGTCACCCCAGTACCACTCGGCATCCTGCAGGGAGGGCGGGCTTCCCCCATTGGTGAGGACTTGGGGGGCTGGCTTTGCCTTCGGGGGTTTAGGCGGCAGTGCTGGGGAACAGGAAAACAAATGGACCGACTGTATGCTGTGTCTGGCTCAACTCAGCCTGCTGATACTGGCAGAGTCCTGAGTCAGCACTCACGGCCCCAACAGTGAACAATATGGGAGGGGTCACCTGGGGGCGCGACCTCCTGTTCCTCCAGATGTTCTTGAAGCAACTTCTCCACCAGCAACACAGGGAAGTCGGGGCTCGGCTCAGTCCTAGGGGAGGGGAATGCAGGGCGCTTAGCAGGACAGCCGGCAGTGGCGCTGCTGTGGTCCCACGCATCTCATGCCCAGGGGACACGTGAGGGCAGTGCAGGATGGAAGGGTGGGACACGGGCAGGTGTGGGCCGGCCTGCTTATGCATACTCGGTCAGTGCTCAGTAAATGAGCATATACCCAGAAGACAAGAGTCCCGCACCTGGACTCTTGGGGCGGGGTCAGAAGCCAAGGAGTCCCCAGGAGCCCAGGCCCCACCCTCATCGTCTTACCCATCTTAGCCCATCGCACCGCTCCAGCTTCTGCCAACCCCCACTTCCTCCACTGAAAGCCCCATCCCTTGGGCTGAATCCTCCATTCCTGTGCCAGCCGTTCTCCGGGTCTGCAATCCTCAAAGGCCCAGCTCCTGGCACTTCCTGTCTAAGGCCACACCCCCACAGCTAGGTGCTCACCCATCTGGTGCGCCCCCTGTTGGTGGTGGTGGGGCCTGCAGCAGCAGCGGCCCGAAGGTGGCGCCCAGGGCTCGCAGGGCCAGGTTTGGGGATGAGGATCGCCTGGCTACCCGGCCCAGGTGCTGAAGCAGGAAGCGCAGCGTGAGGGCATGGTGCAGGGTCAGCGTAGGGGGCTCCAGTGCTGGCCCCACTGGCCCTGAGGACTCTGCAGACAGACGACCAGGGCCAAGTGAGCTGAAGTAGAAAGCAGCCTGGCGGCCCTGGCCTTCTCCCCTAGCTAGACTCCCTGCCAAGCTCACCCCGAAGGACCCGGTGAGCCTCAGCCACAGCTTCGGGTGTCAGGAGGGGCGTGGGAAGTGCCAGCAGGAAGCTCTTGATGCAGTCTGAGAGGGCTGCCACATCCCACTGCTCCAGATCACTCAGGGTCCAATCTGTGGTGGCAGAGGGACATGCTGGATTGGCTGTCTTCTCACACACCCCTGCTCTTTGAAACTTCCCCTCACCTGTGCGTGGGGCAGGCAGCTCCGGTCTGTACAGGGATTCGCTGTCAAGTCCTGGGGGAAAGGGGTAAGGGGTGGGTCAGCTCCACGTCAGGTGGTAAGGCCAGCTCTCATGTGCCACAAGGACCCCATGAGGTCCCTGGTGGCTGCTCAACCTCCCCTAGTCTCACTTTAGAGTCCAGAGATAAGTGCAGGGCAAATGATGGAGACGGCAGCTGAAGGCACAGCACGGCAATGGGGTAGGCGCTCGTGTCCTCATCCCACGCCTCCCCCAGGTCAACATGGAGGCCCAGGACACAGTGGCTCAGCCTCCTCCCAGGTAGAGTGAGCCTAGAAGTGCTGTGCGGGAATGAGCTGCCCATCACCAGAGGTAAGCAAGTAGAATCTAGGGGCTGCGGCTAGGCTGAGGCTCACCTGTCCGCTCAATGGCCTCCACAAGCTTCACTAGGAGTGGGGGTGCCACATCAGGTGGGGAGAACTGCTCAGGCAGGTCAGGGAGTATGAGACCTGTCAGGAGAGGATGGTGTGTTAGCAGGGTTCTTAGAAGGGCTCCAGCCCTTCTCAGTAGATCCAGGTGCTGACCCAGGCCACTACCCAGCGCTGGGACTACCATCATGGGGGCTGGAGGAGGTAGGAAGGCTGTTTTTGGGAAAGTATTTTCTGGGTTGAAATACAGTTTACAGGGCCCTCCTTGGTAGTGCAATGGGTTAAAACGCAGGACCATGAAGCTATCACCAGGGAGCTGACCCACATGGGGCAGCAGGCCTCTCCTGTCCCGCCGGCTGCTCCTCTCAGCATGTACTATGTCGATCTGCCTGTTCTGCTCCCCACTGTCTCTGGTGAATCCTCTCACGACCCCTGCACCTCTGGCCTATACCCCAGTTCTTGTGTTCATGAAAAAATAAATCTTAAAAAGACAAAAAAAGAAATACAGTTCACACAACTTCAGAGACCAGGTGTTGATTCGTTTTCCCAAATCTGGCCACATCCTTACCCTCAGTATCTGTGACCTTTTTTTGAAAGTAGGGTCTTTGCAGACATAATTAAGGAGGGATTTTGAGACTAGATCATCTTGGATTTTGGGCCCTACAGTCAATTACTTGTATCTTACAGGAGATGATGTGACCACAAAGGCAGGTGATGCAGCCGCAAGCCAAGGGACACCTGTGACCCTCACAAGTTAGAAGCAACAAAGGATAATCCCCCCCTAAAGTCTCTGTGGGGAGTGTGGCTGTGCAGGTGCCTTAATTTTAGGCTTCTGGTCTCCACAGAAGTGGTGGGATGCATTCTTGTTTGAAGCCTTCCGGCTTGTGGAAACCTGTGCGGCAACCCCAGGAAAGCCACACAGCAGTGGGGGGCTCTGCCACAGCTTGCTGTGCAGACCTGGGTACTGTGCCAGCCCTCAGCAGGCTTCAGTTTCCTCAGATGGGACACTGGCAGGTGTGACACCTCTCCGTGCTCAGGAGGAACAATAAAGTGACAGAAAAGAATAAATGGAAAATAGTTCCTATCTGGGTCAGACATCTTATTCCAAGGATCCATCTCTGTTTTCTAAGTCATTTTGCTTTTAAGTGATTATTTCTCCCCTCTCTAAAAATTCTGCAAGCCCCCCAAGCCGGTCTGGGGCCCACCCTGGCCTGGGCCCCGCCCGCCACGTTTCCTGCGGCGCCGGCCGGCCCTCCATGCGGGCGCCTTGGCCTGCTCCGCACCATGTGCATGGCTCTGGCCCTTGGCGGGACGCTCTGGCACACAGCAGGGGCAAGCTGGGGCCTGTGGGCCTCTCTGAGTGATGGGCCAGGTGGGGCCTCCAGCTGGAGAGAGGCCCAGCTGTGTGGAAAATGCCAAAAAAATTTTTTTAGAAAGAAAAAACAAGCAAAGAAGAGAAAAAAAGTTTTGTGTAAATGTGTGCTGGGGGAGGCCTGCCGAGGTTCTGAAACTCAGCTTAAACTTGCTTGTGATCCATGTGCAACAGGAATCACCCCCATCTGTCAGAGACTAAGAGAAGGCGCAACACCCGCTTGGGTGCACGGCTGGGTGGGGGCCCCAGCAGCACTGGGTTCTACACTTCCCGCTCCGGGCTGGAGAAAACTTGCGGCCTCAGCATGTTTACAAGTGCTCCCGGGACTCTGGAAGCAAGGAACTCAATCCTCCTGTTTCTGGGCGAGGAAACTAAGCAGGGTGTCCCGGAGCCCTGGAGGTGCGGAGGGCAGGCTGGGCCGCCAAGCGGAGTGGGGAGTGCGTGGTGTCTGCGCAGAGGCCGGGCAGGGGAGGCGGCTGTTACCAGGGGGAGAGGCAGAGTCTGGCTGGGTGCCCGGCTGGGTCCGCCTCCTACCCCTCCAGCCCAGGCAGGACAGGCAGACGTAGGCCTGGGCCCTGAAGACTCCGGAGGCTGCAAGGCCCAGCCAGCGCCGTGCCGAGTCAGCAGCCCCATCCAGCCCTGCGCTAGGGGCTCTGGGCATCAGTGGCCCTCTGGCAGTGATCAGCAGCCATGGGCCAGGGCCTTGGGTATGATCCTGCGCCCTGTCTTCCTGTCAGCACATGCAGCTCCTCAATGCTGCCGCCCCACACCTGAGCTTCAGCTTCCCCAGCTGGAACCCACACCCCTCGCCCAGCAGTCCGAGCTACGCTCAATGCTGAGGTGCCCTCCCACGCACCCCGCACAAGTCAAGGGTCTTTGGCCCCTTGCTGTACTGTGTGGACTTATTCCATCCTCTTTGGGCTCCGGGGCTCCCTTCATCTTAGAAATCAGGTACAGGGTCACAGGGGATTTCTCGTTGTACCGTCTATAAACTGCAGATGAAGCTAAACTGAACCTCTGACAGTCTGAACACTGAGTCTTACTCAACACTCCCCATTATCCTCAAAATCCTATAAAGCTGGGCCTCCCTGGTGGCGCAGGGGTTAAAGTCTCAGCGCTTTTGAGCTCATCCAGGCCAGGGAGCTGACCCACATGGCGGGCAGACCTCTCCTGGCCCGCCCGCCCGCTGCTCCTCTCAGCAGTGTATTTCAGTGGATCTGCCCGTTCTGCTCCCAGCTGTCTCTGGGGAGTCCTCTCACCCCCGCACCTCTGGCCCGCACCCCTGCTCTTTATGCATCAATAAATGAAGTTCCTGAGGTACAGCCCTGCTGCCCTCCCCTTCCTCAATTCACCCCATTGTCCTCTGTTCCCCAAATCTATCATTACATGCCCACCTCCTGGCCTTCGCTCCTACTGCACCCACTGCCTGGGTCCTTCATCCCAGTGCTCCCCATGCCAGGCTCCTTCCTCATAGTATTAATGACTACTTAATCACATTCTTGTCACTTTTTGAACGAGAAGCCCCATGAGGGCAAGATCAGGCCTTGTGGCATGAACTGCGCCAAACCTGGTTTTTCCACCTTTCCTGGAAGAGGCATCACCACCTCACTGGAAAAAAGAGCAAACTGAGGGTTTGCGGGGAGCTCCCCCCCCTCTCCCCCACAAGGCCCCTGCCGGCTGCTCACCTGGCTCGGGGGGCCCATCTCGGGGCCTAGCAGGCAGTGGGCGGGGGCCACGGGGACGAGGGCCAGGCCTGGCCAGAGCTACAGGCCCCAGGAACTCGACGTAGGTGCCAGGGAAGTCGCCTCGCTGCCGTGTGCGCTCATTGAGACCGGGCATCCAGCCCACGTTCTGTGGGCAGCGCTCACTGCCCTCAGACACCCCCAGGGCCTGTAGGGCTGCCCGGCTCACCACCAGCACATCACCGGGCAGCAGCTCCAGGTCCTCTGGCCGCTCCCGGCGGAATGGGTAGAGCGCACGGTACTGGAAGCCCTCAGGGCCAGCCATAGCTAGGCAGGGTGGGGTTGCTAGATGGTTAGGTGGTTGCTTGGGGCCCCAGTGGCCCCATCAGTAGGGGCAGGGGGCCGGGGGAGTCCACTGGGTTGGCTTAGGATACTCAGACCTCTATTCCCAATGGTAGGTGACTCTGGAGGCAGATCAGGCCTTGCTCCCCATTATACCATGACCCTGATAAGGGTCACTCATTGCTCTGTCCACCATTCGCCAATCGGTGGGAGGGGGTCGGCAGCGTGATCTCAGGTCACTCAGCCGCTGCGTTCCCCCCCCAGTCAGTAGGGCCAGGCCAGGCTGCTCACTCCTTTACATGGGGGGCCATCGGTGCCCGAGACTGGCGGCTCTTCCAGCTGCGCCAGACGAGGGGCCCGAGGGCACTGGATGTCACCATGCTCGGTCAGGATGCTGACCTAGGGGAAGAGGAGCAGGGCAGTGTTAGCTGGGTTGGACTCTTCCCACCCCCAACTAGGAGATGGGCCCACATCCCAGGATGGATTCCCCTGACTCACTGGGCAACCTGAGGCTGACCCTTGCCCCTCTCTGGGTTTCAGTTTTCCCAGCTATAAAGTGGGTGCAAGAAAAGCCCTTCTCCTGGGTTGACGGGAGGAACCTGCCCCAGGCAAGTTCAGTAAACAAGCTCTTCATCACCCCTGTTAAAGAGAGAGAAACTTAGCTTAGAGCAGGAAGGTTGCCGTGAGACTACTCAGTGGGCCAGGAAGCCAGACCCAGACCCACCCAACTGCAAGGCCCAGCACAGAGGCATGGCCAGACAGTTATACTCGGAGCAGGTAGGGTGTCATCGGGCACACCTGGGGTGTTGAGTCTGCAGGAAGGGTCAGGCCAGCGGGAGAGCAAAGGGGGAGGTAGGAAAGGAGGTCCAGGCAGCCGGCCTGCAGAAGAGGACTGAAAAGGGGGCTCCCAGCATGGCTTACTGTAGGGGGTGGGGAGGGCAGGTGTCAGGAAGGGAGACCAAGTCCCAGTGCAGACATGAAGTCAGGACAGAACTGATGGAACTTTGCAGTTGGCAATGGGATGCTGCTGACTGTGAGGTAATGATCACCCCACAGGAGCCCCCAGGCTCAGGGAGACAGCTACTTCTCAGCATTGAAGGTCCAGGTGTCCTGGGGGTGAGGTGGGGGAGGGGTACCAGTACTTTCCGAGAGGGCGGGTCCTTATAGAGGACAGGAAGGGGCAGTGGCCAGAGGGAACAGCCTGTGCATGTAAAGGCTTGCAAAGGCTTGACAGGGACAAGTTCCTTGCCAAGGATCAGGGTAGCTGTAAGAAAACCACCAGCCACACTGGGCCTCCAGTACCAGAAGTTGTGGTGCAAGGAGCAGAGTTTGACCACAGGGAGGCCCAATTTACCCACTTCTGTCCCCTTCACCCCTATTCGACTGGTGTGGAAATGAGGCCCAGTGAGGGGTCGTCCAGGAAATCGCCTGGATCCGCTGGACTGCCCACCTCCACACCCCGGCGTGCACACGTTTGCACACGCCCCTGTGCGAGCTCCCGGGAACCAGCGCTCCCCCAATCCCAGAGGCTCCCCCATTCCCAGAGGCGGGGTAGAGGAATCAGGCCCGGTTGGGGGCTCCGCCGCAGGGCGCACTCGAGTCCAGACGTGCACTCATTCCGCTTGATCCCAAGTAGCACAGTGTGCAAACCGGAAGTGGAATCGACCCCCGACACTCTCGCACCCTACTATTCCCCACACAATGCCTGGGCGCCCCTGCTCAGTGCTTGACGCCCCACTAGGGGCAGGGCCTCCCTCCATCCGCAGCTGTGGCTCCAGCCGCTCATCTCGACTTAGGGTGCCCCGTTCTGCCTCCATCGCTCCCAGGTGGAGCGTGCGGCCTCCGTTCCCTGCGGGCCCCCCAGGTCCCGCGGGGCCCGGGGGAGCCCGGATTTCGCGTCCAGGCTTTCACTGCGGCCCCACGCTCTGCCCCGGCGCCCCGCGTTTGAGCGCACCTCCTGCCCCGCCTGCCAGCCCGCACTCACCTGGTCGTGGCCGCCACCGCCCACGCCACCGCCGCGGTCGCCGTCACGCCGAGCTGAGACCGACCCGCGGCTCTACCGCGGCCGCCGTCGCCGCAGCCGTGGGATCCCCGCCTCCGTCGCCGCCGTGGTTCCGAACGACCGGGCCCGCCCCCAGCGGAAATAGCCGAGCGTGCTCGGGCCAGGCGGGTGACGCCAGGCCGAGGCGGAGCCCGGGGACGTCCGAGCGCTTCCGGAAAGACCCGAACGTACTCCCGCGGGACTGACGGGAAGTTCGGCGGGGGCCGAGCGGGGGGAGCCGGGGTGGGGAGAGCGGCGGCGGGAGGGCCTCGCGATCGCCGAGCGTCTCCGGAAACAGCCCAGAGCCACCGAGTCAGACGGATCCTCCCCGACGGGCTGGCCGGGCCGAGAAGATCGCACAGTTCCGGAAGTGGACTGGCGTCCACGCACGGCAGCTTCTCAGGCTGGGCCGGGCTCAGGTGCAGGGGGTTTAGGGTAAAGCTAGGACTAGACAGGAAGGGCCCGAAGACGGCTGTATTATTATTATTAAACTGACGTCGGGGGCCCAGACGGGTATCTGGGTGAAGCTTTTTGAGGGCAGAGCCCTCGACGGGCTACTCACAGCAGGGAAGGCAGCAGGAAGCTCGCGGGTGCACACCCAGGCAACCTTCAAAACCCACTTGAAATGACTGCCGAGGGTGGTGTCGTCGCTCACTCCCACCCCACTTCCCCCTTAACCCTTTCATGACCCCTCACAGATTCAGACACAGTGGACCTCCTCTTTGTAAATGTGGGCTTTTATTCAGTCAGCTTGGGAATGGAAGTCATGCACAGCCTAGGTCTAGCTCCAGTACCAGGCAGGGCTGGGTGGGTGTCTGGATGGATGCAGAGTGGCTGCCGTGCGTGGAAAGTGCCCTTACCATGCAAGGCACGGCCATCTTGCCTGACCTCCCTATGGAGTATGGAGGTCTGAGATGCCCATGCCCAGTGGGTCACCCAGCATGGGGTGAGGGTGTGGGCTGCGGTTGGAGTCAGCTGTATCTGACACCAGACTTATCTGATCCAGCTCCCTTGCAACAATGCTCAAGACAGGGCCTGGCTGCACGACTCAGGTCATCCTGGGATGTCTCCACCTTGGCCAGGCCTCAGCTTTTTGTCTGTAAAACGGGGATAAGACCACTTCCAGCCTTCCCAAGGCTGGCTGAGGGAGAAGCGACGAATAAAAGCACTTGGCACACAATAGGTGCTTAATAAATAGTCATGGGGTTAGTTTTGTAAACACAAGGAAACTGAGGCACAGAGTGGGGGAACCATTTTCCCAGAACCACACAGTGAATTCAAGATTCAAACTTGGGCCTCACTGCCTGACAGCTGTTTTTCTTACTCAAATTTCATACATGGACATTCTGACACAAGAGGGAACTCCTAGGGGGTATTTCAGACACACACTGACCCAGGGTTCACCCTTGTGATCCTCAAAATGTGAAATATTGTCTGTGATGGACATTCTCCTGTTATGGCAGTTATGGCTCCTTGAAGCCTGCACCTCCTCGGACATCAGTGTCCCTCAGTGCAGTGGGTGACCCTTCTGCCTAGACCCAGTGAACTCCTATTCATCTATCAAAGCCCTGATTCCCATACTCACTTCTCTATGATGAAGCCTACAAGACTGCAGGCACTCTTTAGCAAGGCTGATCTAGGGGTGGAGACTATGATGGTGGGAAGAAACAGCCTTCAGACTCTAGTCCATCATTGGAGTTACTTTCTCTTATGGCGGAAGGGGATCATTTACGGACTTTTCAAGTCATAGCTAAACGAGACAAGGGCAGGTGAACGGATGGGTGGGGAATGGGATCAAGTAACACACAAAAAACTCGAAACATACAGAAAGACCAGAAAACAAGGGACTTGTCAAAGTGTTTCCTTCTCAACCCAGGTTGTGGGGGTCAGGGGGTAGGATGTCTGCAAATGGGGTCCCAGGTGCATGAGGCAGGACCTGGGCAGCCACCTTCATAGTGGTGGCTCAGTCTATCGCTTATAAAAAGTAATAAATTAGTTGCAGGGATCTGCTGCTATTTACAAGGCCTCCCTTATCCCCTATTCCTGCCCTTCAGATCCTGAGGGCACCAGAACATGAGGGAGGTGCTCTCTCCACCTTCCAGCAAGGACCAAGATGGCTTCTTGCCTTCCAGGTGTCACAGGTTGGTGGCTATGTCTCCATTGTCACTTTTTGGAAAAACGATTGCACAAAAACGTGTGACTTGCAGATCAAGTGGGAGGGATTAGTCTTTTCCAGCAGGTCCAAGGGCTCCCGACACCGCCTCAGCACCCTCCACAGCAATCTGTGGCACCAAGGTAGGTAGCCCCGTGGCCTCCTCAGGTGGCTCATCAAAGCTCACCTCCTGCACAGCCTCCTGCTTCTTGAAGGAGTCTCGGCGCTCAGACAGATGCAACCGCCGCATGACCACGAGCTCTGAGTCTGGGCCACGGCCACGGCGTCCTGGTTCCCCGTCCAGCCGCTCACCTGTACCCAGCTTGTCAGCTGACTGGCCCCGGCGCAACCGTGGGGACCGGGCAGGGGCAGGTGGGTGACCAGGCAGGGGTGAAGGTGAGCGGGGTGGGGGCGCAGACACGGGTGGGCAGGCCAGCGGGGAGGGCGGGATACTGCTGGTAGACTTGCGGCGGCCGGTCTTGGGGCGGGGTGGCCCGAGTTTGGCAGCCAGGCCATGCAGGGAGCTAGGGCGGGTGTGGCTGGCGGTGGCAGGAGAGGCAGGACTGCTGGAGCTTGGGGATGCACTGGGTGGGGATGCGCTGTCTGTGGGTAACAGGCAAGGGTCAGGGCCACTGGCCTTTATGACCCCAGCCTGGATGTAAGACCCTGGGGTACAGTGCTCCTACAAAGCCCACATCCTTCCCTGTGGCCACCCATCATACCTGGCTTTTCCCACCTCCTTTTGTTCGCACAAGTTGTTCTCTTGGCCTAGATCTGGTACACTAACTCCTACGCATACTTCAAAGCCCCAGCTCCCATCCAGCCACATCTCACTTAATGAACTGGACCTCATTGGGCCCTTGATGAGGACCACACATTGTTGAGCCACATGACACCCTCACCATTCACTGTTCATCTAATGGGCTGTCCCCCAAACTATGCTTTCTAGCCTTGCTCCCCACCCCCAGGCTGGTCCAAAGAAGAAAAATGGCACAGACACCCTGTAGCCCATGAGGTTAGGGTGGGCCAGAAGAAGTGACAGCAGTTGCAGTGCCCAGAGAATACAAAGGACTTCCTGGAGGGGTGGCCCTGGAGTCCTCCAGCAGGACTTTCCTGCCTCCCCTCTGCTGTGCTAGCCTGCTAACCCACTGGGCTTGGAGCTAACTGTGGCTGAACCCTCAGGACTGGGTCAATCACCATGCTTCCCTGCCCGGAACAATTTTTCCGACATGTACACTATACCCTTTGCTGACTCACAGATCCTCTGTGGCTCCCTAATGTCCCCCAATTTAGGCCCACCTCTTCAGCGTGATCCTTACATGCGTCCTGTTTAGCCCCGTGGTTGGTAATGTCATCCCGGCTGGGCCCACCCTTCTCTCTGCTGCTGCACCCGTTTCCGACTCCCCACTGGGCTGCCACTCATCTCGCTTCCTATGCTATGCCACTCCATCTTCTAAATGCTGCCCGCTGCCCGCTCCCTTCTGGGACCCCTTCCTGCCTGGGTGGTCCCAGGGTACACCCACCTGCAGGGGCATCAGGCGCTGGGCTGCGGCACGGTGTGGTGGGGCTGGGGGAGAGGCTGTGGGTGGGTGAGCCGGGCAGACTCTCACTGGATGACAGGGAGTGGTGGAGGCCAGAGGAGAAGCTGCGGCTGGTGTGCAGCACTGACGACTGTTTGGAGATCTTCTTGAAGAGGGACTTGCGCCTGGGGGTGACAAGCCCAAGTGCTTGGGATCCCTGCACCCTCCCCCAACCCAGTGGCGGCCACCACCATCAGCACTTCCAGGGGCTGGCAGTCAGCTCAGATCAGCTCACCGGTCCTGCGTCTCCCTCCTGCGACTCCTCTTGCTTCTGCGTGCCATGCGGCCCTTGGCCACATTCTTCCGGGCGGGGCCCACCTTGATGGATGTGTTCTCCAGGGCAGTGGTCCGCAGAGCAATCTTGTTGCCGCTCTGTGGCAGGGAGGGCCAGAGTTTACCCGTGGCCTGACTCCCACACCATGACACAGCCCCCCACATCTGCCAGATTGGGGGGGGGGTAGGGGGCCAGATGCATGGGGGCCAAAGGGAGGATCAGAATGGCCACATGGGTGGTGGGGGTAGCTTCCTTGATGAATGACTGCACAAGGCAACATTAGGAGCAGAGGAAGGAAGCAGACCCTGGGTGAAGGGAGGGGAGAATCTGGAGAGTCAGGAGCTGAAGCCAGGGGGCAGGAGTTGGGGGTTACAGAGCAATCCCAAGGGTGGGGACTGTGGGGCGATCTGGGGTCCCTAAGGGTGGTCAGGAGTGGGGGTCTTGGAAGTCCGAGGAGGCAGTGGGGATTATACCTTCAGTAGCAGCTCAACCACGTCCATGTGCACCAGCCCCAGGACGGACTCCCCATTGATGTGAGTGATGAGGTCCCCCGCTCGCAGGCCCGCCTCCTGGGCAGGGCTTCCCTCTTCCACACTCTGGGGTGGGGGTGGGGGATGGATGGTAGAGTCAGTGGTGTGGGCCCCACAGCGGGGAGCTGTGGGACGCTGGCAGGCTGCTGCCTCTCATGCAGTCTCGGCTTCCCTGGTCTTGGGGACTGTACAGAGTGACCGGTGGAGAGGGACAGGCCCAGGAGCTTCATGCCCACTTAGGGTCTCTGTTCCTCACAACCTACAATGATGTGAAGACTTACGTGGCACCAGCTCCCACCCCTCAAAGGGTTTTATTCCCCTGAAACCTCAAAGGCAACAAACACTCACTTTTCAAGCCAGAAAATGTAGCTCTGGAGGAAGGCGCTGAGCAGGGTGGCGGTGCACTTGAGCCTGCGGCTCTTGTTCACGTCACCCCAAGTGTTCTCTGCACCAACTCCGAGCACTCCCTGTACTCGTCTTAGGCACCTCCCATGCCACCCTAGGCATCCTGGCACCCACCCTAGTGCTCCCTGCTTCTGCCTGGCCAGCTTACCCAGACCACGTGGTGCACAGTATAGACATCGCTGTCACCCATGTAGACGCGGATTGCCCGCAGGCTGAAGCCATACTTCTTGCCTGAGCTGTGGATGACAATGGGGGGCCGCAGGCTGCCACACACTGGGGACGGGTCTCGACTTGGAGAAGAATCTCGAGATGATGGGTTCGAGGACAGTGAACGTGGGGACAGGGGGCTCATGAGGGGGCCACCGCTGCCATCATCTGTACAGACCAGGATCAGGAAGGGGGTCATTTTCTGGAGGGGCCCCCCCCTTAGGGTACCTTCCCCTCCCACCGTGCTAAACCGGCAGCTCTGTTGCCGCTCCAGCACCCCACGCGTGCCCCCACCTCGCCTCTGTATATGCAGAGGCCTGTCAGGAACGCCATCCCCTAGCTTCCGTGTGGCCAGCTCCTTCCTCTCCCCTCCAACTTCAGCTCAGCTCCAAGATCACCAACCAGGACGGGTCACCTCCCACCTAGCTCCTGTCCCCCTGGCCAAAGTAGCCCCCACCCCATCGGTCACCATCTAGCGAGCTGGGCGTGTTACCTGCTGTGATGATGAGCGACAGGGCAGACACCGAGGCTGACTTGGGCACGCGGCCCCCAGTGGCAGAGGCTCTGGACTTCTCAGGGCCTGGGTCTCTGGGGCCCCCAAGGCGGCGGCCCCGGCCAGCTTCCAGAACCCGTGGCGTGGAGTGTCGGGCCCCTGTGCTGTTGCTTCGTAGCCGTGCGTGACTGAGGGCAGCTGTATCAGCTGGGGGGTGGTTGGGGGAGGGGGTCAGTCTGGCCCTCATCTCAGGGGGCTTGAGCCCCTCTCCCTGTTTGGCATGTACACAGTCCAGTCTCCCGGCCTTTACTGGGTATTTCCCTCTGCCCATGTATCCTTCCTACATGGCTCTACATGAGAAACTCCACTCTTCAAATCCTATCCTCCAGGAAGCCTTCCTCCAGCCCCAGTATGACCCCTGCATCCCCTTCGTAGATCTCCCCAACCCTACCTCTCTTCTAGTCTCATCCTGATCTTAAGAAAAGGGGCTCTCACCCTTGGACTGTAGACTTCTGGGGGGCTAAGTGGAAGCCTTGAGACCTCTCCCATCTTTTTTTTTTTTTTTCCAAAATGTACGGCTTTCATTCTAATCATTTTGTACATTTTTTTCCATCTCAGTTGTAATCCCCGTGCGTTTCCCATCACCAAGTCACCCAAGTGCCATCCCATAGTCCAGTGCACTTCCCTCCCCCAACCATTTTTGACCCCATTCCCCACTCCTCTCCCATAAAAGAGACCTCTCCTATCTTATATTCTTTCTTAGACAAGTGAGTGGTCTCTCTGAAGAACAAATATCCATCCCTGAAAACCACTGCAAACTGTTCCTCTTCGGGGAAGCTTTCCAAGATACTACCTCCCTCCTACTCTAGACCCACTTACCAGAAAGGGTTGAGGACTTGGGCACTCCTGGGGTAGCTGCTGGGGGTGGATCAGGCTCCCCCAGAATGAAGATGGGCTTCTTGGAGTCCAAAGGGGCCGCCTCATCCTCTGATGAAAAGGCAAACTTGGGCATCGTGTCCAAGCTGATGGTGTTCAAGAGAGATGGGCTGGGACCCCGCTCAGGCTGGGATGAGGACGAGTGGCAAGAGGAGCCAGAAGAGGCACAGGGCCTGAGCCTGCAGCAGGGAAGAGCCCACGTAACCCTCGAGGAGCCCTGGCCCTAAGGTCCGCCCTCACGGTCACGCCTGAACCCTTGGTCTGGAGTCTGAGGCAATCAGAAAACACTTCCCTCTGCTGCACTGTTCTCCATATTTGCCAAAGTAGCTCCTATTCCTCTTTTAAAACTCACATGCTAGCCCCGATCTTCTAGCAGACATTATTGCTGTGAAGTCTGGACTTTAAGGATGAACAGGAGTTCATCAGTAAAGGCGCTCTGTGAAGAGGATATAGTGCAAGCAAAAGCCTGACAGCATACAGTGTGTGACTGCTTCTGTCAGAACACAAAGCCCAAGACAGCGCGGCTAGGGCCAGGCGATTAGGGGTGTGTCAGGCTGCCCGACATGTCTGAGCCTTTTCAACTGGGCCCTAGGAAGTGACTCCAACAGCAGCTTTTGTGGCTCCATCTCCTAGCAGCGCTGGGAGCCGGATCTGCTCACATTCCCAGTGCACCTACCTGATCTCAGTGCTCATCCGGCGGCCATAATCCACCTCACTGTGTTCCCAGCCTTCCTCCCGGTCCTCACTATAGCTCCTTTCAGCAAAGGTTGGGGTAGGTTGGACAGCCAAGAACTCGGAGCTGCTGTAGACCTGGGAAGCAATAAAAAATAACAGTCACAGCAGTGGAGAGCGCAGGCTTAGCTGAGGCTTCCTAAAGGCCTGACGCATCCTTGTGAGTCACTTCCTTCCACCCTTACCCCGTCTATGCAGACACTGTCTCCAGTGCATGGTACAGATGGAGTTTTAGAGGGGCCAAGCTACAAAGGGACCACAGCTGGGACTTTATACAGCTGACCAGGGGTGCAGGTTTTAATTATGAACAAATGTACATTAAAGCTTGTGAGACCTGCACCACAGCTCTGTTCACCATCACCCAAAGTGGAAACCACCCAAGTGTCCATCAGCCAGTAAAGGATAAATAGGATGTGGTCAATACACACAGAATATTATTCAGCCATGAACACAACAGAAGCCCTGAAGCATGCTACAATGTGAACAACCACAAAAACATCCTGCTGCGTCAGAGTAGCCAGATGAAAAGGGCACATAATTTATCTGAAATGCTCAGAATGGACAAATCCAGAGACCTCACTGTGTTCCCAGCCTTCCTCCCGGTCCTCACTATAGCTCCTGACAGCAAGTGGCTGTCAGGCGCTAGGGTGTGAGTGACTGCTCATGGGGACACGGTCTCTTTTGGGGTGATGGAATGTTCCGGAGCTAGATAGGGGTGGTGGTTGCATAATACTGTGAATGTACTAAATGCTACTGTTCACTTTAAAAGGGCTACTGGGGGCCCTCCCTGGTGGTGCAGCGGATTAAAGCCCAGCACTGAGAAGCTGAAGCCACTCCCGCATGAGTTCAATTCCCAGCCCAGGAGGTGATGCACATGGCGCGGCAGACGTCTCCTGACCAGCCCGCTGCTCCCCTGAGCAGTGTACTTCATCAGTCAGCCTGTTCCGCTCCCCATTCTGTCTCTGGTGAATCCTCTTATCACCCCTGCACCTCTGGCCTGTACCCCAGTTCTGTATGCACAATAAATCTTTAAAAAAAAAAGGCTACTGGGATATGTTATATTGTGTGTATTTAACAATTAAAGACATGTAAATAAATCCACAAAGGCCTAAAGCAAATGTCTCACAATGCTTCCAGAGTGCTGGCTGCATTGGGGCCCTGGGTCCTACCTTGCTGAACCGGTGGGAGCAGGAAGAGAACTGTGGGATCTCTGTGGAGGACTCCTCATCGTTGGTTTCCTCGTCCTCGGAGCCAAGGTGGCGGTAACGTTCCGAGCGTGCTGCAGAAGGGAGAGGCATGTGCCGCCCACAGTGAGTGGGAGATGTGGGGAGGGCTCTCCAGGTGGGGGGGAGGGGTGGGACACACGGCCAGGGTGACGACCTTGGGGTGGGATCCTGACTGATGTATTTGGGGACCACAGGGGCTGGGGTGGCTGAGCAAGTATCTGGGAATTAATCCCAGCTGTGTCCCTAAAAGCTGTGGGATGGTGGTGGGACGACTTCTTGTGTCTGAGCCTCGGTTTTGGAATCTGTAGCTGGGTGAATTCACCCAGAATTAAGATAAAATTGGGCATCTTAAACATAAAGGATGTTTCCTATTTTCCAGAAGGGGAAGCAGTTGCTCAAAGAGGATCTCTAATGCCCCAAATCTCTGATCAGGTTCCGGAGAAACCAAGAGCGTATGTATTGCTTTTCTGGAATCCTGAGTGGCCAGCGGGAGGCTTGTCTGAGTCCAGCCAAAATGTCTAAGGGCTCCATCCACCCAGCTGAGTGAGGCACCTCACCCTCCTACGTGACACACAGGGCTCCGTGCTGGTCAGGACCCGATACTCAGGGGGCTCAACCTGTGGAGCGGCCCTGGCAGGACTCTGTTTCACTCAGCGCCTTGGTTCTAAACACCCCCAGGGTGGGGGTTTCTACGACACAGGAAGTCTCAGTCAAGAGGGTCCCTGGCAGACACACTGCAGCTTCTTGGAGAGTTCAGGAAGTCGGAACTTCCAGGGTGGAGAGCCCGCAGACATCCCTCCCCACCCTGAGGGCTCCTGGGGCAGCAGAGCCTGCTCCCTCCCCTAGGCACCCCCCCCTGCCCCCAAGACCTCCACTCACTGTCGAAATAGCTGGTGTCATCCTCGGCTTCCAGCTGTGGCACAAACTCAGCCTTGTGTCGCAGAAGCCCTGCCCAGTCCAGCGTCCGGAAGAAGGGGTGCTGCTTTACCTCGTGGGTACCACCTGTAGACACGCCTGGGTTGGGCCTCTGGTGCCCACCTCCCAGGACTCCTGAGACAGCTACGAACCAAACTTGCTGAACACAGAACTGGGAAGACTGGAGGGGGCAAAAGAAGCTGGGAACAAACCCAGGCCTCTTTCTCCCTTTCTGGGCTCCGAGAGCCCATCCCAGGAGGGGCCGGGAGCAGCTTCCTTCCCGGGCCCTTTTCATGGAACAGAACTGACGGTGTGAAAGTGACCTGCTGCCCAGTCTTGCTTTCTCTGGTCATCTCTTATGGCCCAACTACATCATGAACATGACCTGCAGCGGCCACCTAACGAGGGTCTTAAGCGGTCCCTCGGCCTCTCACCAGGCAACGGGGAAGGCTGGGGCACTGGGGTCCAGGAGGCTACACTGAGGCTCAGGCTCTCTGCTCGTCCAGCTTCAGCGTCCCCTCTGTGCATCAGACCCAGCCCCCTGCCACTCCTTCCTTCCTGGAGAGCTCAACGGTCAACGGCGAAGTCCCTTGCATCCTTCTGAATCCCATCTACAGGGCCTTGCCTCCAAGGCGCCTCCCAATCGGAGTCTTGTTCACCTCAGCCCGTCCCACCCACACCCACATACCAGTGCCCAGACGGTCCAGTGGGCTTTGCCGCAGGAGCCTGGTGATGAGGTCCTGTGCGTCGGCTGGAAGAGCATCGTCTCCCTCTGGCCACATGATCTCATCTAAAATGTGGGGAGGGGTGAGAGGGTGGCAGGGCAGGACAGCCCCTCCCGAAGCTCCCGAAGCCGCCTGTCACCCGACCAGGCTGTTTACCTTACCGCCTCTGCGTGGCTGCGCCCCTGCCCAGAACACTTTCCCCTCTCCCAGCTCTGGGGCTCCCTCCCCCTTCAGGGCCTTCCCCACCATCACCTCAGGGAGGCCTCCCTAATCCCCTATTTCATGCCGCACCCTCCATATGGCACCGGGCCCCCTCCCCCTTTTCTGACACTTCTCGGCTGGCGCTTTTGCCTTAGATGTGCCCATTTGGCGCGTATGTAACCCACTTACTGTTAGTCCTGCCGGCCGGACAGTGAGCGCCACAGGGCTGTCTGCCTGCCCCTCTCCAGGGCTCGGCAAGTTCGGCCCAAGCACCTCTCAGGTTGCTCCCCGCCCTGCACAGGTCCCCCCAGCAGGGCTGAGACTGGAATCTCGGGCCACTGCGGGGGAGGGGGTGGGACAGGACTCACCACTGACCACTTGGCCAAAGAGTTCCTCGGGGGTATCTCCAAAAAATGGCACACAGCCCACCAGAAACTCGTAGAGGACCACGCCCATGGCCCACCAGTCCACTGGCTTCCCATAGCCCTGGCGGAAGATCACCTCGGGTGCAATGTACTCTGGCGTCCCGCACACCTGTGCCCAGGGCAACAGGGAAACAGAATGACTCCCTGCCTGGGGGAGGTGGGGAGGCAGAGGCCAGGCCCAGAAGAAGGGGTGGGCAGAATTATGGGGGCTGTTCACTTTCTGCTTTTGGCTGCCAGACCTCCTTGTGTCTTGGGAGCAAGATTCAGATAGAGGGGCACCCCACACCCTCAACTGCCCTACCCACCTGCTTGTCTATAAACTCCCGCGTGTCCTTCTCGATGTGCCCCTCATACAGGTTGGTGGCCATGCTCATGAGCCCGATCTTAGACAGCCCAAAGTCGGTCAGCTTGATGTGGCCAAGCGAGGTGATGAGCAGGCTGTGGGCAGGCAGGTGGGGTTGGGGTGCTTAGGGCAGGGAGAGGTACCCCTGAGGTGCCCAGCGTTCACACTATCCCCACACCAGACTATGGCTCCATCTGGGGTGCCCCCAGCTTTTCCTGCAAGTACTTCCCATACACAGCCATGTTACTGAAGCAACAGCTGGTGTTACTGAGTACCGACTGTATATATTGCTGTGCAAAAATTAATCCTCTGAGAATCCTGGCATCTTTCCACTGTGCATTAAAACACCTCCCAAATGCCTAGTGGAGCGGGTGTGTCCACTATATACTTTTTGTACATTATTTTAATGAACTGTACTCTGTGTAAGTACCTATTGTTTCTATCCCGATGAAAAGTGAACATGCCTTTAGCACATGTTGTATACAGAAATATTTCTGCGTGCAACCATATTTTTTAAAGATTTTATTTATTTATGCATATAAGAACTGTGGTGTAGGCCAGAGGTGCAGGGGGTGAGAGGATTCACCTGCGACAGAGTGGGGAGCAGAACAGGCAGATCCACTGAAATACACTGCTGAGGGGAGCAGCGGATGGGCCAGGAGAGGTCTGCCGTGCCACGGAGGGTTGAACTCATGCTGCGATGGCCGAGGACAGCTTGACAGGGCTGAGACTCTAACCCATGTGCCACCGGGAGGCCCCTGCAATCTCCTAAGCTGCACTCTACTTTTTCTGTGAGCCTAAGTCTGCAGATGCCTTGTTAAGTCCCTAGAAACATACACACCAACTTTTTGAAGCCACAAATGCCTATGGCTATAGCCTTGAAAATAAATTTCTGGGGAATTCACCGTGTATAGCCAAGTTGCTTGATGAACCGATTATTGACACTTATGTGTATCTTGACTGTATGAAGAAATCACTCTGCGCTAGTCTACAATAGTACCCACTGTCTTTAGAATGAAAGGACAGTTCTTGAGCAGCCAGCAGGACGCAGCTGTGGGCAACACCCTCTGGTGTAGCAGCCAGGTGCAGACAACACCTGAAACCCAGGCCTCGGCAGTCCGGGCAGGCCCCGCCACGACGATCTGTGCCTCCCGAGCTCCTGTCTCGAGAAGGTCCGTTTCTTAATTACTAACTCTACTCATGACTTAAATTTTTCCTTTCTTAGAATGATGCGATGCCTGGGCTTTGCTTGGAATCACCTGGGGGGAGCTGGACTGAGACAGAAGGGAGGAGATGGGGCTGGCTGAGTGTTGGTAGCTGCAGGTTTTGAGCATGGTGTCCTCCTGGTATGGGCTCAGTTATATATCCCAAATTCAGAGACTGACGTCCTCAACACTAACAACTATGAGTGGGGCCTTCTCTGGAGATGTAATCAGTCGGATGAGGCCAGCTGAAGAGAGGGTGGCTTTGACCTGACATGACTGGCGTCCTTAATAAAAGGGGAAATCTGGACACAGATGCACAGGGAGGTGGTGTGGTGAGGACTGGAGTTACATGCACAGCCGAGGAGCTACCGTGAGCAAGAAGAGGCCCAGAACGGACTTCCCGGGTGCCGTAGGAAGGAGCACGGCCCTGGCGACACTTGACCTTGGACTTCTGGCCTCCAGACTCTGAGAGAAAACATTTCTGCTGTTCACACCCCAGTCTCTGCTGTTTGGCCACAGCAGTCTGAAGAGGTGAACGCACCTCCTCATGGCGTGTGCGGGGTGTACCTGAAAATTTCCAAAATGAAAGGAAAGATATTTCCTTTCTACTGTGTGTGCCCAGCATCCTCTGAGGCCTCTGAGACAGGCAGCTCTCCTGCCCACCTTGCACATGTGGGTCCTGAGCTGGGAAGGGGCAGGTCCTGCCTGGGGTCTGGCCCAAGACCCGTGGAAAGCCCCACCCTGCCCCAGCATGACTGCAAAGAGGTCAGCTGGGCACAGAGCATCCTCAGTGCATTGGGCACAGGCCCAGGCAGATAGCGGTACCAGAGACACATCTGCGTTGCTTCCTATGCCACTTACAAAATACAAGATGCCCTGAAAACAGGCAGCACACTTAACAATTATGCCCACACCTCCACACAGCAAATGCCTTCATCTGAGAGAAGGACCCTTGCCTGATGCATGGTAAGGTGCATGCGCACCTCAGAACAAAAACTGTAAGAAGGCAATTAAGCATTCTGGTCTTGGCCACAGTCGTCACCTAGTAACTGTTGCTCTGATCACTTTATATTCAGTTGGTGCCAAATACATACACACTGTATAAAAACCATGCGTTCCACATCCAAAAGGCTCATCAGTGTGTGAGGAGGCAGCCATATTGCTGCCTGGGCTCTTTCAGGCACGAAGCACAGGCTCAGGTGCCAAACAGATATTTGCTTTGGCTAATAACTTTCGAGCAACCTACAAGATGCCAAAACACACAGGGCCCTGATGCTTATGTTTGTACCTCCAAGAGGCAAATAACTAATTAACGTGCAGTCCCTGCCTTCTTTCAAGAGAGAACTCAACAAGGGCCTCCCTGGTGACTCAAGGGGTTAAGTCTCAGAACTATGAAGCTGTCCGCAGCCACTGCAGCATGAGTTCGACTCCAGCAGGGAGCTGACCCACACGGCACGGCAGAACTCTCCTGTCTCGCCCGCTGCTCCCCTCAGCAGTATTTCAATCAATCTGCTGGTTGTGCTCCCTACTCTGTCTCTGGGGAGACATCCACACCTCTTGTATGCATTAAAAAAAAAGAGAGAGAGAGAGAGAGCGCACACACTCACTTTCACCTGTATACAGCAGGTGCTCAATGAACACAGGGCAGAGCACTTTGAAAAGTATGTGGGGTTGTACGATGCAAGGAATTACTCATACACGTGTCTCCCAGGCACCCATGGAGGACTAGAAACGAAGTAGATGCTTGCTGGATGCTGGGATAAAATAAACCGCCCAAGGCTCCCTATTCCTTGTTTTCCCTGCTCTAACACTTGTTGCAGAAGCTCCAGAAATGCCTAGGCCATTTCCTCACATATCAAGTACTGTAACGTGCAAGTCCCTACCCCTGTCCGCAGAGGGCGCCTGGCATGTCTCCTGCCCTAAGTGCACACACCCTCCCCTCATGCGGCAGCCCCACAGATGCAGTGTCTGGACCAGGCAAGTGCCACCACGTCCCTGCCTTCTGCACACCAGGCGCGCACACCAGGTGCATGTTCCTGCCTTCCTGCCATCAGGGAGGGGCCCCACGATGCCAGCAGAACAGCCTCGGACCCTACCCAGAGGTCCTCTGCCCTGGCACTGCCCTAACCAGAGGCCCGGACCCAGCCCCCTCGCCCCACTGGCAACCCACTCTCCAGGCCCAGTCCCAGCCTTCCCAAGCCCTGTCCCCCACGCGCCCACCCCATCTCTCCCACCGGCTCACTTGTCAGGCTTCAGATCACGATGAACAATGCCGTAGTTGTGCAGGTACTCGAGCGCCAGCACCGTCTCAGCGAAGTACATGCGGGCCATGTCCACGGGCAGTGGGCCCATGTTCTTCAGCAGAGTGGCACAGTCGCCGCCTGTGGGTGGGTGGGGGGCACTCTCACAGTCTGGGGCTCTGTAGCTGTGCTTGGTATCTGCTCCCTCTTCCCCGCCTGGTGCAGTGTCACCAGTCTGGCCCTGGCCGAGTCAGGCTGGGAAGCAGGCCAGCAGCTGGTGCTCACTTCCCCTTGCGTTCACTTCCCTCTGGCAGGGCGGCAGCTCCTGGGTGCCCTCCCTTGAGCTCCCTCCCCTGTGTTCCTCCCTGCTCCCCACACTGCCCCCCCACACCATTGGTACCTCCCAGATGTATATTCCCTGCCCCTCCCCTGCATAGGCCCCATTTTGGACCAGGGTTCCCGAGGTTCCTGAGGGCAGGTTGGAGCCCCAGGGAGGACAGGGCACATCTAAGAGGGGGCTTCCTTCTGGGTGGATGGTGAGCTGCTGTCACGGGGAGCACGCAGGCCCTGGGGACTGCACCTTCCACATACTCCATGACCATGCAGAGATGGCGCCGGGTCTCAAAGGAGCAGAACATGCTGACCACAAAGGGGTTCTCGGCAAAGGTGAGGATGTCCCGCTCCACGAACACCTGCTGGATCTGGTTGCGCAGCATCAGGTTCTGTTTGTTGATCTTCTTGATGGCGAAGCGCTGCCGTGTCTCTCGATGACGCACCAGGTAGACAGCCCTGGGGGGAGGGGGCACTGAGGCTGAGCCTGCGCCCTGACCCGCTGGCCTTTGCTGTACATGCCCGCTACCTAAGGTACTTGCCTCCTTTTCCTAGCCCTCTCCAGAAGCAGTCACCCTGGGTTTACCCGCTTCCCCCCCACCCCCCCGACCCCGTGCTCTATGAACGGGACCAAGACAGTCCCATTTAGCAGCCCCTAGATTGTTCACTCTTTCACCCACTTGCTCAAAAGCCTGCCAGCACCAAATCCCTATCACTTTAAATATAGGTGAAATAAGCAGAATTTTAATCATACAGAGCAGAGTCTGCTGGCTTTGCAAACAAAGCAAAAACCAGCTCCCAACATCTCTTAGCCGTGGATAAGAAAACCTTGAGCCATAAAGACCCTGGACCCATGATACTTCATGCTGAGTTGCTGAGTCACCTGGACTGAGTCACCTGAATCCCTCTGGATGCTCTTATGCTCTGAGGGCCCCCTACCCCTTGCAAACCTGTCAAAGAGGCACGTTAATAATACTCACTGCGTGATTCTGTCATTGCGCGGTTATCATCTTCCCCAACTGCCCCCAAATCCCTGGAATCCCTACACCTGGAGCTGGTAAGGGACTGGATCAAGGACAAATTGTTGAGGCCATGCTGAGGCTGTACTGTCTCTGCTTCCTTCTGCAGGTCTCAGTTTCCCTGTCTGCACATTCAGGAGCTGCCTGGGTCTAAATCATCCTTGTGGGCATCTGAGAAATGAGTCTACAGGGGGCCCAAGGACTCACCCATAGGCCCCATTGCTAATAAGTTTGATGGTCTCGAAGTCATTTTCACATGGCTTCCTCCGTGACGGGCCGATGAGGGCACGGTTCTAGGAGGCAGGAGGGGCTCAGTGCTGCTGGGCTCCTCCTGCCCCTAAGTCCCAACTGCTGATCCTGGCGCCTGCCACTGCTTTCTCCCTCCAACTTCTCAATTTCAGCTTCTGAGTCTTGGCTCAAGCTGTGCCCTCCTCCCAGAAAATTCCTACACTTCCTCCAAAACCCCACCTCTTCAGTGGCCCCTAGAGTCCTCCCCTGCTCAACGTTCACAGCAGGACAGTCTCATTTGTTCCCACCTTCCCTCCACAGCAACAAGCATTTATTAAGCACCTACTATATGCAGAACCTTGGCAAGCCCAGTGCTTTCCATGGCTGCTTGGTGAACCCCCTCAAAGACAGGTCAGGGGGCCTCGAAGCTCTGTAGCTCACCTCAGGAGACTCCGGTGCTGGGGGCTGTCCTCCATCTTCAAGATTACTCAGAGGCACCATCTCTGCAAGATGAGAGAGGAATCTTAATAGGGGTCTCCAGCTCTTATCCCTCCATCACTGAGACATTTCCTGAGGCTAACCTAATACCCTTAGCTTAGGGCATGGCCCAGGGAAGGAGTCCCAGTGTTCAGCAGAGGGATGCCTCAGTGAGTAGACAGTTGGTGGCAATGAAGACAGAGACTCAAGGTCATAGGCAAAGCTGGGATGGGGTGGCGGAGCCTCAGAGCTGAGGGAGGCTAGCATTCAAATCTAGCCCCTTACCACTCTCAGGGGGTCCCTTGGGTATCAGGTGCATGATCTCCCTCCCCTCACCCCCACCCCGCACACTTCCCACTCCACCCCAAACCTCAACTACCACCTGCTAGCAACTTCCTGTTTCCTCCCTTACCCAGGGACAACCCATAGCTCCATGATAACCTCTATTAAAGATAGAGGGGCCCTCCCTGGTGGCACAACAGGTTAGAGCGCAGCACTAGGAAGCTATCCACGGCCAAGGTCGCTGCAGCACGAGTTCGATCCCAGCCAGAGAGGTGACCGCGTGGAGCAGCAAACCTCCTGTCTCCCCTCAGCAATGTGTTTCATTTGATCTGTCTGTTCTGCTTCCCACTCAGTCTCTGGTGAGGACTCCTCTCACCCCCTGCACCTCTGGCCTGTACCCCAGTTCTTGTATGCATAAATAAATAAATCTTAAAAAAAATAAAGATAGAGGTGGTGGCCACATGGCCAGTCCACAGTAGTCTGGCTTTAGACGCACGGGGTCTGAGCCACACTCGCTGCTCCAGCTCATTTGCCCAAGCCTGTTTCTAGAGCTTTAAAGGGGAGCAATGGCTCCACAATGAGGGCTCAGTAGCACTGGCCACCATCGGCTCCCTTCTAGCCCCTACCGGTCTCCCAGTCCTCCTTTCTGAACTCCTCAGCCCCTCCCCCGCCTTGCTGCTCTTCCCACCTCAGGGGTTTTGCTTGGCTCTTCCCATCCACTTCACAACTGGCTTTACCCTTTTTCTCCCTGAGATCTGTTCCTGGTCACTGCTCCATCCTCCCGGCCTCTACCTCCTCCGCAGGCCCTGCCCGACTACTCCCACTTGGACCAAGTCCAAGTTCAATGTTCCCCGCGTGCCTATTCTGGTTCTCACGCATGAGTTTTTGACTAGCTTGATCCTGCCCAAGAGCCACTCTGTCTGATGCCAAGTCCCCGGGTCACCATCAGATAAAACTGGGAAAGTCATTTGTGAACCCGCAGGAAGATGTGAAGGTCTCTGCCAGCAGTGGCCCCCTGCTGCCCTGCCTATGCTAACACTGTCCCCAAGCCTGCTAAGTCAGGGAGCCCGCTCATGGCGTGCTGACCCCAGAATCCTGGGCAGTTTCCCCCGACCGAGCCCTGTAGGTGGCCAAAGGCCAGGAGACAGAGGCAAAAGACAGCAAGGTGGCCCCAGAGTTACGCACACCTGGGTGTGGATCCTGGCTCCACCTAGTCTCCCCTTGATTTTCTCTTTCCAAGTCATTCCTGCCCCCAGCTCACCCTCAAGGGGGTCCTTAGCCAGGCCCAGCTGCCCAATGATGTACTGCGGCAGGTCCGTCTTGATGCCCTGTCCCTCACGAGCCTGGCCCTCAGCAGCCTCCAGCAGGTGATAAAACTCCTCAGGGTCAAACTCCTGGGGGCACAGAGGAGAGAGTCAGCGGGGCTGGGTCCACCTCTGGGCCTATGCACAAGCCGTGCCCCCATCTAGAGCACTCTCACGGGTGCTTCCAACTTGTCCTGAGGTCTCAGTTCTTGGACATGCTTTCGGGAAGCCCCCCTCAAGCTGGAAGGCACCCCATGTTCCTCCCACTGCCCTATACAATGGGAATGGCTGTTTATATGTTGGCAGGACTATCAGGGCATGGTCTCAGCTCTGCTAGCCCAGGACCACTGTGTCTAAGAAGCCTCACCAGGCACTCGAGGAGCCTCGCTGGCCGTGAGATAATTATCAGCAGCTTCCGGACCAGCTGGATGATGAAGCCCACCTCCTCACTGTCCGAGCGCTCATGGGCCTGTGGTTGGAGAGGTGAGAGGTCACCCACAGGCGGCTGGCCTTACCCCACCCAGGGACTCAGACCTGAGACCCCACCACGTACATCCTGCAGCAGCCGCTCTAGCTTATCCTGCATCTCTAGGAAGTAGCGGGAGGTGACAAGCGCCTCTCCAGACTTGGCCAGGCAGTCTCGGGCCAGCTCGATGATCTGGTGGTGGATGAAGCCCAGGACACCATCAGCCAGAGCCAACCGGTCACCAGGTTCGAAGGCTGTGAGAAACTCCTGCAGCCGGCCCTCCATCTGTGCTGTGGCCTGGCCGGGGAGAGGGACGACTGGGTTATTGAAGGGGCAAGGGAGGATCACGTGCTGATGGGGGTAGAAGAGATGTGACAACGGGATGATGGGGTGGGAGGATGGGGGAGAGGAACAACATGTGCTGATGGAGGGGGACGGTTTGGGACAAGAGATGGGGAAAAACAGCCTGCCCGTCACACAGGAGGGAACGGCAAGGCAAGGGGGAATCGGTCCAGGAAGGCCCCGCGGCACTGCCCACCTTAGGGAACCTCTCGCGATACACGTGATTCATCATGACGATCTCGTTGTCAAAGGTCCCTGTTGCACGTCCTGGGCTGAAGGGGGGGAGGGCATGGTCAGCTTGTGACACGCGACCCAAGACCCAGCCTGGGGGACGGGACTGAGCCTGTGTTCAGGGTCGAGTGTCAAAGGCCCAGCTCAAGTAGGTAGAGGAGCCATAACGTCAGTGTGAATCCCAAAGTCAGCTGTGGAGGGCTGATGCCAGAAGGTCAAGGCCCACCTGAGGCTTCGGGAGCGGGGGCGAAGGCGTGGGGAACGGCCACCCTCCTCATCAACCACATTCTCGGAGCTGCGGAAATGCTTGGACAGGAAGCGCAGTTCGTCCGGTGTCGGCTGGAAAGGAAGCTGGTGGAGGCGCTCCCGGGAGGATGAGCTTGACTGGCAGAAGGGGGGGTATCAGGGCCACCGGTCACAGTCAGTGCCACAGTCAGGACTCTAGTATTATCCCTCAAGGCCCTGGCTGTCTGCTGGCTGTCTGCTGGTCATCAGATGGTTACGTCCTTAACTGGCTCCTATGCATCCCTCCAAACCCCAGCTCTAATACCCCCTCCTCTCAGAAACACTCGCAGCCTGCTCCTCTGACAGCCCCAAGAGCCCCTCTGGTCAGACTCTGACTCCATGAGCTGGGGAGGTGTCTGTGTCCCCCAGAAAAGGGACTCCTTGGATCTGAAGCTGGAGCCTCTTAGCGCCACCCCCCACCACCACATTGTCCAGAATGGGCATGAAGATAGCCAGGATGTTTACGGACTAGACTAGACAATGATCTGACACTTTGCTGAAAACCAAAATGGGGATCCCCCCCACCTTGCACCTGCCTGCCTGCCCATCATGGAGGACTGTGGGTACCGAGACAGTGGAGCTGGGTGTGTTGGTTCCATAGCCAGAAGACGGGAGGGATGCAAGGGACCATCTTCTGCCGTCGGCCCTGAAGAGGGAAAACCGAAACAGTTGGAAGGCAGGCTCTCTGCGGCTTTGGGGGCCTAAGAAGGACCCTGTGGCCAGCAGTCTGTGCCACCCTATAAAGGCCAAGATTAGGGATTCAATGTGTGCTTTCTCGTCATCCTTGAGAAACTTCCTCCAGAAGTCCTCCCTGAGTCCAGCTGCCAGTGCAGCCCTCATCAAAGCAGCAACTTCAGAATCGTAGCTGCTGAGGTTTATGTTGGTTAGCCCCTCGCAGACTGAGGACTCCCTGAGAGCCGATGTCCAGCTTCCTGTGACCTCAGCCGCCAGCAGTGGGCCTGGCATACGGCGGAGCCTCAGTAAGTACTGCTAAATGAGGAAGTGACACTGAGAGCCTGGCACACAACAGCAGCTCCATCAGCTTGGTAAGTGAATTAATGACGCTTAGTGAATTAATGGTTCTTGGATCGGGTGGCCCCCTCTCCACCTCCCCAAGGGCTGACTGGAATTACCTGTCTGCGCGCTGGACCTGGCTGCAGAAGGCCACAAGTTTCCCAGGGGGCGACGCCAAAGGGAGAGACCACCAAAGGGCAGGGGCCAGGGCGGGAAAAGGTAAATGAGGAGGCAGGTCCAGCCACCGAGTGCATGCACCCTGCCTGTTCCCTTGCCAGCCCTGCCAACACCAGCTGGCAAAGCCAGGGTCACTCACCTCCGGGCAAAAGGGAAATTGAGAGCAGACGCAGCTGAGAAGTTCCGAGGACTGTCCAAGGGGCTGCTGCCTGCTGAGGAGGAGGGGGTAAACTGAGTCAGGGTAGGCGGAGACAGGGGGGCATCCATCCACTGGCTGACTTCCGCACTCACCCGTTGGGACGGAGAGCGGTGACAGGGGCCGGGAAAGGGTGGGTGATGGCGTTCCTACCACCAGGCTTTTGCGGTTTCCGCTGCGGCAGCTGTGGGGTGGTGGGGTCAAGTCAGGTGCTGGACCAGCACACTGCGCTCAAAGGACCCCGTGCCCAGGCTGGAGCACACGTGGTCAGCTTTGCAGCAGAACGGTAAATGGGGAAGACCACTCCCGTTACACCCCTCAGCTGGGCACCCCCATGGCCCTGAGCCCAGCCTTTGCACCCCACAAGGAGTGTATTTGACAAACAGAACCTATTAGTAAAACAACTGCTGCTCTCATTATCATCAGCGGTGGCGTGAAGTAGACACGGCACATGGTCAGGACACCCCAGCATAGCTTCTCAGGCTTCTGGGTTCAAATCTCAACACCACACCTTCGCCCACACAGTGCCCCCTGCCAAGAACACTGCAAGTCAGGCGGAGGGGCGAGAGGATCCCAGAGCCCAGAGCGGATAGAGGCAGAGGCAGACCCTGGCTCCATTCCATGCATTCCTTTCAGGGTCGCTGTCCAAGTTTTGGGCAACCCCCTTTCCAAAGGTTGCCCAAATGCCTATTACACCCTCAAAAATCCAAAAGTCAGCATCTTTCAGTTTGGGTCTGTCCTTTCTGTACTACCAAACTTTTGCCCACAGGTTTCTCTCCCCAGCTCCCTTCTGCTCCCCAGGCCCTTGGTCTCAAAGTTCCCAGCCACCCCCCACCCCGGCCCCCCCTGCACAGGAAAGTTAGGAGCGACACCGTACACCGCCCCCTAGAACAGTCGCCCAGCAACGGCTGTGCTTGCTCGACAAGTACAGCAGCCCACACACCCCAAGCCGCCAACGCAGCTCAGGCGCCAGGCAGAACAGCACAGGGAGGGAGAGACCTCAGAGGCCTTGTGGGCCAGAAACTGTATCCTGGGAGGGAGACACAATGCAAGGTGTGGGAGAGCACGGTCAACTGACAACTCAGGTAGTGAGGCAGGCAGGGCAGGGGAGCTGGCTGTTTACAGTTCCACGTGAGACTGCGCCGCTGGGCCTCAGTTTCCCCATTTGTACACCCTGCAAGGTGGTAAGAAGATGCCACAAAATCCATACACTGCACTCGGCTTTGGGCCAGGTGGGTATACCATATGTGGTATCACTAATAGGGCCCAGAGCGTGGGCTGTGTGTCCCCTCAGCAGATTAAATCACTCATATCTGTCAAACCCAACATGCCCAGAATTGTGAGAACAGCTGTACCCATTCCTTAGTCCAGAAAAGCTGAGGCCACAGATACCAACAGTCACAGTCCCTCTAGTCTGCGAAGCAGACTGAAGCAAAAGTGAAACTCATAGGTCCTGCAAAACTTCCTGCCACCCACCCCCCACCTGCCACTCCCACATCCTCTCCCAGCCCACCTGGCCCCTCACCCCACAGTGTCATCTGATGTGCTCAGCAGCATTTGGCAAAGACTTGACCTCCTTCCTCTTGCTCTCCCGCAGCCCTCCTGAAAACATTGCCAAATCTGAGATCTCAAAGGGGAATTAGACATCTTCTATTCACTTCCCCAGCATGTACACAGAGTCGACTATTTGTTCAACTCTCTCTGAAGGAGAGGACACCAAGAAACTGTCTAGCTCTTCAGTAACTGCTGGCGTGTTGCAACAGAAAACAGGAGCCCAAGCTAGCCTCCTGAACCCAGCTTCTGTGTGTCCACCGCTTCCATGGCACTCCATGGAGGGAGAAAAGTCTGAGCCCTGGGAAGGCATTCAAGGTCCTTTTGAAGACGCTCCCCTGCTCACAGAGAGGTTAAGGAACTGCCTGCAGTCACACAGCCTGCCGGTGGCTGGGCTGGAATTTTAACCACAGCTCTCCCTTAGCCTCTCTGCTTCAAGAAAGGGGTAACAGACTCAAGTGAGGCTAGGCTTTGCTTGGAGTTAAAGTGATCTGAGCTCCTGACACCCACATGCACACCACCTCGTGCAGCAAATGTTTGCTTCTGAACCAACATTTCCGCTGACTGGGCCCCAGGGACAGACCAGCCTCAGTTTTTCCAAGCTCCTTTCCAGGTCTGTCCAGACCTGGAAACCCAAGTTCGAATCCTGACTCAGTCCCAACTCCCTGTTGCCTCTGTCATCACCCCAGCTACGACCCCAACGGGCGGACAACGAGACAAGCAAAAGGGGGCTGCCTGGGACGCCCGAAGATACCCCGATCCCAAAGCATCCTCCCTCTGTCCCCTACAGCTGCACACGGTGGCCCTCGCCTCGCCGCCTGGAGACACTTCTGGCGACTCGCGTCTACTCCGCCGGCCACCGTGCCTCTGCTGGATAGCCAGCATCGTGTCGCCTACCTCTTGGAGCGCTGCAGCAGCGCGCCTTTGGCCAGGCGGCTCCGGTGGCCGGGCGCCGCCACCGCCGTCCAGTAGCTGGGATCGGACATGCTGCTTCTCTTTGTGCCGCCGCCGCCGCCGCCCTGAGCCCGGGAGGCGCGGGGGCGCAGCTGGCGGCGGCGGGGCGCTAACCTCGGCTGCGGGATCTGCCCTGGGTGCCCGGGCGAACGGGGCTGGGACGCGAGGGGAGGGGGCGCCGTGAGACTGGGGAGGGGGCGAGCAGAAACCGCGCGCCCGGGAGCGCGGCCGGGAACCCCGCCCAGGCGAGCGCGGGGGCGGGGCGTGGAGGGGGCGGGGCCAACGACGCGGAAGCGCGACCGGCGGACCCGCGAACAGGCGAGTGGGTGGGGCGTTGCCATGGTCGCGGGCGGCAGGGCGGGGCGTTGCCAGGGCCGTGACTGGCGAGGGCGGGGCGTTGGTGGCACCTGGCTGTTGGGCATTGGAACCTGGCTCCAAAGTATTGTAAAACGTAAATCTGAGCATGACCCTTCTCCCCCTCCCCTAGCCCTCTTTTGAGCGCGGTACCCAGCATGCCGGCCCGTTCAAGCTACCATACCCACGATGGCCTCAGAGAAGGCCCTTGAAGCCTGGCAAAATCCCGTGCCCTTTCCTCCACCCTTTCTGGTGTCTGTCCGGCTCTATCTTCCCCAGGCTTGGGCTCTTTGAGATCCCAGCTTCTCTAGCACTGGACTGCCTGGCACAGAGGACATGTTTGGCAGACTGAATAGGAATCAGACACGATTTAGCCTCTTAAGCCTCAGTCTTTTCAGGTGTAAACTAGAAGGAAAGTTGGGCTGCCACATGACTGCCTGCAAGAGTTAGAAGCAATTAGGCAATGGCTATAAGAGTGCCTGGTATACGTTCAGTAAGTATTAGCATCAGGCTAACATCTAGGTCTCTGTTTCAGTGTCTACTCATGTCCCCCAGTGAAAATGGAATGGAATTGCATGTACAGACCACATAAATGATGGTGGCCCCAACAGGCTGTACCACACAGGTCTGTGTAACAATACCATGACATGTACACAACAACAAAATTGTCTAATGATAAATTTCTCAGAACATATCCATGTCCTTTTTCTTTCTTGCTACAGATTTTGCTTCTCAAGTCTCTTTCTCTCTCAAACCTTCCAACCTATCACCTTAATGCCCAAGATTACCCAAAGTGCCCAAGCCTGTAGACCATCTCTGACACCCACACTGACCATTCATTTACTCAGCAAACTGTCTGCTGACCCCATGCTGAACTCTGGGGTCCAGTGGGAACCAGGCCATAAATGATCCCTGCCCTCTGGGGCCTTCAGTATGGTGTGGGAGACAGAGAGTAAATAGGAAACAGTTGAATGAACCAGAAGTAGAAGAAGGAAAAGAAGATAGGTAACACACTAAAGAACGCCATCAGCCAGGAGGACTTTCTGAGGAGATGGCACTGTAGCCAGTCAAAACTTTGAGAAGGAAGATAGCTAGCCACAGAGTGTGTCCCGGGTAGAGAGCAAAGTTCAGGAAAAGGCTCTGAGCAGGGCAGAGGGCTGCATATCAGCAGGGCTGATCACACAGGCCTTGTGGGCTGCAGGAGGAGTGAGGTTTACTGTAGAAACAATGGGGAGCCATGGGGTATATGTGAATGGGGAGGAATGCAGTTTGTCTGTAAATCCCCCACATGTACGGGGGGGGGATGGGGGTTGTCAGGGATAGAAGTGAAGTGAAGGTAGCAGGAGGCTTGTGATAAGCTATAGAGCACAGTGGGTATATTTTGAACTTGTTTTGTACCCAAGGATCAGGCCTTGTTAAGGGATCAGAAGTGGAAATGAGGATGGGAGTAAGTGGTCACCTACAACTTTTAGTTGTCTACTCTGAGCCACCTCACGGGACAGAGGTTCCTACGTGTTTATGGATTCGCCGTCTCACAGGTCTAGGAATAGAAGTGTGGTTGTAGCCATGGTCTCGTGTCACCATATGCTGATGTACAGTGCCCTGAGCTCCCCCATGTATGCCAAGGATACCTCTGTACATGCTCTTCAAAGAAGCTGACTCACCCTCAGCTCCCCACTCATGCAGTCCCAGTGGCTGCAACCCATACTTCCTGTATGCCCTCATCATATGAGCCGAAAGTGGTGGCATTGCCAGCAGCTATTTTTCCTATATCCTCCAACCTCAGTTCCCTCCTTTGCAAAATAAGGCTGCAGCTGACAAACTGGTGGGCGCATGGCCATGGCAAAGGCCTATTGTGAAAACCTGACTGCGCTGCTGATTCTCTGTGCACCAGACCATGGCTCTCCCTGCTCAACATTTTCCATGGCTCCACAATGCTTTTAGAACAAAATCACACTCCTGGGGGCATACCTCTTCCAGGGCCCAAATCTAAACTTCTCTCTTTTTATGTGCACTAGTGAATGTGTAAATGGCAAAGCCCCAGGCAGGCACACTGACATCCACTCTTGACCCAGCGGCAGTCTAACCTCAGTAGGCTTCCCCACCTGTCCAAGTGCTATCTACCCACCTCCTAGTCCTGTGTCACTCCCCTGCCCTTGGTAGAAAATCCAAATTCTTCCCATCCTTGGTGCTCAAGACCCCAGAAGGACAAGCCTCAGACAAAGCTATTCAGCTTGGAACAGCCTCTTTGTCAGCAAGGGCCCAATTCACAGCCTTCTGTAACTGTCCTCCCCGACTCCCATATATACCACCATAGGTACAATCCTCCCAACTGCTTCCCATGTGTCCATGCCACAAGTACTAATGAGCACCTGCTGTATACCGGATTCTGTCCTGAGGATAGAGTTAACCAGGATAGATCCAGGTCTGGCCCTCAAGAAGTTCTCAAACCTCTGGGTAAGCCATCTAGTAATCCTAAGAAAACATGGAAGTCATATCCATGGTGGGAGTCCAGGATGATTAGAAAATGGACAGGTATAATGGATGTAACTAGACAATGGGGGTGGGGGGGCCTGAAAAGGAGGGGGTGGTATGATAAAGTTTCCTATCTGAGGGCTTGATGGAGACTTAACAATAGAAGAAAGGAGGAAATGGAGCCCTGGCAAGACAGCAAAGGCCCTGAGGCTGGCTCAGAAGTCACACTGTTAACAGGGAAGTGGTGGAGGAGGAAACAGGGAGGTCGCAGGGGTGGGACTCAGAGGGTCTTGGAGGCTGAAGGGACACAAGTTGGCTTGTTTGTAGGTGCTCAGAGCAGGGGCGGTCAGGACCAGATTCCGGGCTGTGCCTGTAGCCACGGGGCTCTGCTACCCCCTAGTGGTAAGTGAGGGGGACTGCATCTGCCTGCCTGTATTATCTGCTGGTAAAACTGGCTCAGCTGCTCCTAACAGGTCCCTCCCTTCATCCTTTCCTTTCCTAGGGTAGAAAACAAGGGCTCAACAAGTCATATGGGGCCTGACACTCTCTCCAGAACACCCCTGGGTGACACATTCTGAGATCCTGTACCTCAAGTTTCTTTCTTCACTATATGGGGTGAAAGCATTCCCTGGAGGCCAAACCTGACCCATACTACAAGATCTCTTTCCTGATGTTGCCCTAACCACCTCCTTGTCTCTGCCATCTGGATTCTTGTCCCCGGAAGACCTTTTTCCAAGGTAGCGACAGAAGCTTAAGAAAATGGCCTCCTTGGTGGCCTGGGCGTTGAGTCTCAGCACTATCCCACTGCGACCTGAGTTCAATCTTTGGCCAAGGAGCTAACACACATAGCGCAGCAGACCCCTTCCGTCTCGTCCGCTGCTCCCCTCAACAGTGTATTTCAGTAGATCTGCCTGTTCTGCTCCCCACTCTGTCTCTAGTGAACTCTCTCAACCCCCACCTCTGGCCTCTACCCCAGTTCTTAAGTGTGTAAACATAAAAATAAATCTCAAATTAAAAAAAAAATAAGCTTTAAAAAGTCCTCAGAATCCTCAGAATCTTTACATATGGAGTTCCCTTTGCCTGGTACCACTCTGCCCAGGCTCAAACATCACCTACCTCAACAGGTTCCCTGTCTGACTGTATCCTGTACAGTCCTTTAGTTGTTCCTTGCCACCTTCTAAGAGCTGACTGAGAGCCTCATGAGGGAGGGACAAACCTTTGTCATATTCACAGCTATCCCCTTAGTCCTTCATACCCTTCATACACAGTAGGTGCTTAATAAGTGCTTGTTGCCTGGATGAAGATATCTGCCTGTTGCCCAGCACCCAGTGCAGACACCAAAGCATTCTCTCTGGAACAGTGTGAGTAAATCATTCAAACTAATTGATGAGCTGTCAAATTCTAGATATCACTGTTCCCTCTCTGAATGTGGGGGCAAACTGTTTGACAATGCTGGTATTCCCTCCTGTGCAGAGGCAAGGCCCTGAGACCTGCCAGTCACAGAGGCCGACTCAAGCCCTCAACAGACTCTGGTGGCAAAAGCTGGCCTCAGTTTCCTCAGCTGGGAAATAGAGTCAGGAAGGAGAAGGTACTCATTATCCACAGAGTTGGGGTTCAAGTCAAGGTTCTTTACTTCCTCCATCACTTTACCTGGTTAAGCTCAGGCAGGGTTCCAATGGTGGACTTGTGTATGCGTGTGTGCGTATACATTCAAAAGGAGATTTCTGTCTAGCTGAGCTGCGCATAGGGAGGACCCTTGAGGTCACAACTGATTCAGTTCAGAAGGCCCCGAGCAGTCTGGGAACCTGCCACCTGTCTTGGGGATGTCCTTGGGCAACAGCTCAAGTTCTGGCCTTGTCCAAGCCATCTGTCAAACAAGGGACCTGCTGGGTCTGGCTTAAAATGGAATTTCACTATCATGGCTCAAGCGTGGTTATAGCACCATTTCATGGAGGGATAGTGAGGTGAAGTCCCTAGCCCCACAGTACCTTGGAAAGGGAACTGGGCCTGGGCCGTTTCCAAAACTGGGGTGCCAGGACTGCCGGACAGTGTCTGACCCTGTCCCCAGTGTTGCCACTTACCTCCAGGGATGCAGGCCCATTGAGGGGCTGCAAGGGCTGCAGGGGCTGCTGGGACTCAGCAAGGCCGGGCTCTGGCTGCTCGGAGACAGACTGTAAAGAAAGAGGCCAGGGACGGTGAACCTGGCCACAGCCCCTGAGGGTGGCTGAATACGGAGACCAGACCGGAGACCAGACCCGGGCTACAGTTCCCTCAAGGAAAGGTAAGGAAAGGCCACGGATTCTGGGTTTCACGCAGGCCGCGAGGGCGGGGCCAGACAGATGACCCGGGAGGGCTACCTGGAGGCGGCGGTGCGACTCAGGGCGACCTGAACAAGAGACTGGCGGTAGGGGGGCTGTCAGCCTCCCCTTCAGCCCTTCCTACACCACCACCCCCCTTTCCTGCCCAAGCACTCACTCGAGGGTCAGAGCCGGGATATGCAGCTTGTCCCTGCGGGACTTCATGCCGAGGCCGGGGCTGCGTCTACGCGGACGGGTGCCGACGCCCCTTTCTCGGCCTCCAAGCACTGAGCTGGCGCGATCCGACAGACAGACAGACGCGGACGCAGGACAGCACGCCTGGCGGGCGCGGCCGACGCGGCGCGGGGGCTGGGCCGCCGGGGGCTCGGGGAGGGGCGGGCTCTCCGCCTCGGGGCGGGGCTCGGAACCCCGCACCTGTGCGCAGGCCCAGCCCCGCAGGCGGGGGTCGGGCTGCGGGAGCGGGAGCCGCGGGCGCCACCCCCTCTCGGGGAGGACCCCGACGAAGGCTGCCGGGTCTCGAGCGCCCAGGTCGCGCGGAGGTAAAGACGGCCACTGCCGCCTCCTGCGGTGTCACCGCTCCAACGCCGGGCCCCGCCCCCGCCGGCCGGCCCTGCCTGGGCGCAGCCTCCCGGCGGAGCGGCCACTTGAGGTCAGCGCGCGCGTCTCGCTCCCATTCCCGACCCAGCGCGGATCAGCTCGGCGTGCCCATTCTCTCGCGGCTGGCCTCGGCATACCGCGCACGGCCGAGGCCTGACCACGCCTCCAAGCCTTTGCTTCACCCGCTTCCCTTTGCTGGGCACCCCGTCCCACATCCAAGTTCAGCCCCACCGGCGCGGCTGAGAAGCCATCACCCAGGGTTCCCTGCGCTCCACCCTCCCTCCAGTGCAGCCCAGACGCGGAGGGTAAGGGTTTGTCTGTGTTTGGCTCTGGTCCCCTGGAAACTTGATTGGTCTCGCTCGCCAAGCGCACAGCAGGTGGCGGAACACAGGCAACCCTCAGAAATGCTCGTGCCTGTCCTGCTCGTGCCCCGGGACTTTGGCCACCTGGGTTGTCTGGACTGATAGTCACTGTCTACCTCCCAGGTCCTGGCCAGGGCAAAGGCCGGGGATAGTGACCACCCTCTGGGCAATGTCCAAGTTCTGCTCCTCCCTCTCTCCACCAGCTGCACTATCCTCCATCCCATACGAGCAGCTGGCCTGGGCTTGGGGGCACTCTGACCCCATCCCGACCGACCGTCAGATTTCAAACTCTCATCCAAGCCCTGGGACCTCCACCTTCTCTTCCTCTACCCATGCTCACTTTACTCCACTCATTCTTTTCTCCATGCTGGTCTTCTCCAAGCTGGTCTTTCTCCCTGCTGGTCTTCCAAAGCCAACTTGGTGTGAACCCCAGGTTTGCTGATACCGTTCCCTCTGCCTGGAATGCTGTTCTCCTCAATTTTGCCCTAGGCCTCTTCCTTTTCAGATCTAGGCCCAATCACCTCCCCAAGAGATCCCTCAGCCTCTCTGTCAGTCACTTTATGTTTAATTTCTTGTCTTCACCATCACTCACCTGGAGAGAGTGTGTGCTCCACACAGGGTCCGTTACTGACTTCTCCCTGTGTCCCCTGTGTTTAGAATAGTGCCCAGCACATGTAGGGGCTCAGCAAGGGGATTCCCATCCTCAATTCAGTCAAACATAACCCCTACATAGGGGTTGTGGGAAGGGTTATACCTTGCCAGACCACCTGCACAAAGCAAGCCCTCCACCCCTTGAGGGTTAGTTTCCTCGTCTGTAAACCCAACACCACAATGAACAGAATGTTCTCTTTTGGGCTACCAAAATGCCAATCTCTAGGATTGCTAAAGTGACTCTGAATAAGAGAATATTCTATCTTTGTTTTCTAAAAGAGAGTGAGCTCCCCACTATGGGAGGCATACAACTTGGCTCCAGGATACCTGAGTACAATTTTATGGTCAGGATTCTGGATTCCAGACAAGTTTCCTCACTTCCTAGCTAGGTGTCCTTGAACCAGTGATGAAGCCTCTCTGTACCTCAGTTTCCCCATCTGCACACTGACACCGTCTCCCAGACTGGTGACAGTCAACTGAGGGGTTTCTGTGAAGCACTTTTCAAACACTAGGGGCAGAATAAGAGCTGAGAGCTTTTTGATAATTATTAAATAAATTTACAATTTGAAGGCTGCTGCAGAAATATCTGTGTCTAGTCTCACAGTGCCTGGACACTAGCCCCAGGTGAACTTACCCACGTCCTCGGCGTGGCAGGCTCAGCTCCTTCTGCAAGGAGACAAAAACAGAGGTCACTCCCTGAGAAACAAGCTTTAACATGCACACTTCACCCCAAGAAGTTCCCTGCTCATACTGCTCCAGTCTGTGCTTTACTTCTTGACCTCCACCCTGGATTTGGCCCTCCCTCAGGGTCTTTGCCTCTTCTGTATCCTCTGGCCAGCACTGTCCTCTTTCCCCTCTAGTCTAGTTAACTGCAGCTTATCCCTCAGGTTTTAGCTCAAGCGTCCCTTCCTGCTAAAAGTCCTCCCTAACTCTCAGTCTACCTCACCGTCATTTCACTATATAAAGATAATTTCATTAATAACAAACTGGCTATATTTATAAAGGAAATGTATCAATAGTGGCTAAATACAATTTGAAATCTGCTGAGGGGGCCCTCCCTGGTGGTGCACTGCAAAGCCAAGCCAAGCCATGGCTGCTTCAGTGTGAGTTTGTTTGATCCCCACCCCAGAGGTGACCCACATGACGTGGCAGACCTCTCCTGTCACCTGCTGCTCCCCTCAGCAGTGCACTTTGTTGATCTACCTGTTTTGTTCCCCACTCTGTTTCTGGTGAATCCTCTCACCACCCCCAGCACCTCTGGCCTGCACCCCATTTCTGTATGTGTAATAAAGAAAATCTTAAAAACAAAAATGTTGAGGAAAGGGAGGTTCTGGAGTCATCCTCACTCTGCCCCCTGCCAGATGTGAAAGTCATACCACCTCTACTCTCTGAAGAACCTATGCAGGTTTAGGTCCTGGGCACCAGTGGGGGGGGGGGTGACAGGGGAGGGGGAGGGAGTCACTGACCAGTGACTGATTGGAGAGTACAGGTCGGTAACCTGCTCCAGCGCTGGGGTCCCTCACTACGTAGAGCCTGTGCTTGGGATCCACAGTTACTCAAAGGCCATCCTTCGAATGTGGCTCACTTAAGAGGGATTTTTAATTCTCGAAAGGTCGTACAGCACAAGTTTAGAGTTTGGGGACACTCAAACCTGGGTCTAGACCCACTAGCTGTCCCTTGCTCCCTATGGGACCATGAGCAAATACCTGTATCTCTTGTGCCTCCATTCCCCCACCTGTAATTTGGAGACAACATCAGGGGTGTTCAGTGTAACAGTGACCAGCTATTATCATTGTTGTTGCGCTCACTAAGGGCATACGCGGACTATCATAATATTTGGTGAAGTCTACTCACGTTTACTGAGCCGCCTACTACGCACTAGGTGCAGGAGCTGTTTTGTAGGTGAGGAAACTGAGGTATGGAGGGAGGCAGATATTCACGTCTCCTGGCGGAGGGAGTGCCGGAGATCCAGGTCTGTGGATACCCCCCATGCCCCTCCACCCTCTTCGCCCCCCACACACCAGGACATTCCAGTCTAGGACACACGACTATTTTTACCTCGGTGGGTTCCCGGCTGCCCACGTCCAGAGCGGGGCGTTTGCCACGGCAACCAGTGACGTCATCAGCCCCCGCAGCCAATTGGAGGAGGCCGGAAGCTACCCAGCTCCGGACGACTGGGCTGGGAGGAATTGGAAGGGTCTCCCTCAGCCAGAAAGAGGGTGCATGGGGTGCGGGGGAGAAATTTTTCCCAGGTCTCACCCAAGCTACCTTAAGCTCAACATATTGAGTCCTTCAAAGTGGGAAGAGGTTGCTCTGTTACCCTGAGGTCTGCTTGAATACCTCTGGAGACAGACAGCTCACTACCATTCAGAACAAGCAAGCCATCATATACCCAGGAATGAACACCACCACCATCACCATTCAGGTCTCCTTCTGCCCCCTCCAATCTCTCTCTCTCTCTCACACACACACACACTCCCGTGATTTCCTTCCAGTGTTCTGGACAGACCAGGATTCTCCGTCCAGCTCCCCCACATCTGGAATGTGTGGTCCCATCAAGCAACTTTACCCTTCCGTGCCTAGTTTCATTTGGAATGTGAACCAGTTACAAAGGGTCTTGGGGTGACTCAAGTAGCAAGTTTATGGCGCTAGAGGGAGGCTTTACTCAATTGGAGCCAAGACAATGATTTTGTGAGGTTAATAGTATCCACAGTTTTAACCACAAGTGTTAATTTGCTTTCAAAATGCAAAAAAGATGTTAAGTGGCAAAGAGAGGTGAGGGCAAGTTGGCTGCCCCCTGCAAAGGCTCAGGAAGGCTGGTCCACACTAACTCAGCACCACCCCCGGCTGCTCCATTCTCCGTGCCATCTGCTTCCGCCCTCAACCCCCTCTTTGCCAGCTGTTCCCCGAGAAGTGGCTCCAGCCTAGTCTGCAGTAGGTGGAGACCACCCCCACGCCCTGGAATTGCCTTTTAATGATAATATTTACACCATCCTCATTGTGCTTGGCCAGACTAAGCGACGCATCCCTCTTTCCCCAGTCATCAGCTCCACCCGAGGAACCTCCATCTCGAGGTGGGACAAGGCATGGACACGCCCTTACCAGAGGCATTAGGGGAGACCCAGAGAGAGATGAGGCTGAAAGTGGGGGGAACCAAGAGTCCTTCTGACAGGTTGGCCAGTAGGCTAGAGGGAAACAGGTGGATCAGGACTCATACATGTGGGCACCAAGCCCCACAGGAAATCCGAAACTGGAGGGAAAAGGGAGAGAAGCAGAAAGAACCACAGTGCACCAGCCTGAAGGCTTCCTAGAAGAGGAGAATAAGTGGAACCGGGCCATGAGAAAGCAGGATGGACCTTCCACAGAGCCTCTCTGGCGGCAGTGGAGACAAAGTCCAGACACAGGTTCTGACCACTTTTCCGTTCCCGGATGCTCTGTTTGGAGATCTGGTGTTTCAAAATTTTGTCATTTATGAAGTAAAGATCCAAGAGGGAGATAATGAAAAGGATGATAAAATCAATAGTAGTCGTCCATGGTAATAACAGCTCATGTTAACTGTTGCCTAGAAATGCTACATAGAAGATGGTGTTTAAACCAAGCCAGGGAAGACCAGTTTCCATTTGTCCTGTGACCCACAAACTGGTGGCCCATGGGCCATGCCAGATCCAGTTTCTGACCTCAACACACCATCACTGCATGGCCTACATTGCCACAATCAGTTTGGCCAGGATACCCATAGCTATTGTCTGAACTGGCCAATCAGCATCTGACTTAAGGCCCTTGGCTTTTGTGAGTTGCCTCTCACCTTTGGCAAGATTCAGCCTCTGACTGATGGTAACCAGAAGGCTAATATCTGTTGGCTGGGAGTAAGGATGGAGGGGGGAAGCACCTTAGCCTTAACTGGGCTCTGGTCAAGGAAGTCTATGTGTGATGCTGCAAAACCAGGCCCTCAATACCCTTGTACCCTCAGGTGTCTGACTGGTTAGAATTCCAGTTTTCCGCCTTGCTGTCTGTTATTTTCCCTCTCTGAGCCTTAATTTCCCTCTTTGAAAAATGGGGCTAGTGATAGGAAAATTTTTAAAAAGCATGGTGTTAATGTGAGCAGTTATCTCTACTTCTGTTATTTTATTATTATTCTTTATCTACTGCTTGGTCCTTTACTCCAGGGAGAAAGCTCAATCTCTTCAAAATCAGTGTCCCAGAACAGAAGACCCCCTTTTGCATTGTGGCTCCAGTATTAAGAAATAGCTACTAATGTCCTCATACTACATTTATAATTTCATGCCTCTGCACATGCTGTGCCCCCATCCAGAATGTCCCACCTGATCTAGGCCATCCCTAGATTCTCCACCTTCCTGGATGGAGATGTGCCAACACTGGGTGGGTCTGGAGCAGGTGCTGGAGCAAGAACCCCTAGATTCCAATACGACTGTCACACACATGCTGTGACACCTGCACAGTGGATATGCTTCTCTGAGACTCAGTTTCTCCCTTAGTAATGTGGGACTCACAAGAAAAAGGCTCCTCCTCCCCAGGGAACGGGCCCCCACTTTCTGACGTCAGCAGCGCCCCCATGAGCCTACCCGAAGGCGGTTTCTCTATTTTAAGAGGCTGAGGGCGGGGCTGGAGTCTAAGTGGGGCTCAGGGAGGGGCCAGTCCCCTCCACTGCTTACAGTCCTGCCCTGCCCCCTCCTCTACATCCAGCTCCTCACTCCTGTTTCTGGTCTTAGTACCCCACCTGCCCTCTACCTGTCCCCTGCCCCACATCTTAGGGGGGGATCTGCCTTGCTGCTCTCTGAGATTCTAGATACAAGGCTCGTCTTCCCCTTCTGTCTCCAGCCTCCCCTCCAGCCTGTTTCTATGTTCTGGCTTTCCTTAGCCTATTTCATTTCCCGAAGAACCTTTGGCGTGCCACCCAAGGCTGTTTCCTCTACCCCAACACCACCAAATAACCTTTGATTCAGGCAACTTGTGAGCATCCCTTATTGCAGCTGCCCATTCTATGGGGTCACTGCTGCTCAGGTTTTTATTTCCCCCAACAGGATGGGAGGTCCAGCAGGGTGGCTCCAGAGGGTGGGGAGCACCCCACAGCGTGAGGTACTCAGCAGGCACTCATAGAGTAAATGATAAATCCTAGGTTCCCTACCTGTAACCTAGCAGTGGGCTTCTTAAGGGTGTGGTTTGTGTCCCAGAGGAAAACTGTTAGATTAATTCCTACTGCACAGGTGGGGAAACTGAGGCCCAGAGAGGTCAAAGGAATTGCAGCTCAGGGCCCATGCACAGGCTATAATCTGCATGGGTTTGATACTGGCCTCTACATGCCCTCACACCCATGCAGCTTCTCCTGGGATCTGAAGTCAGAAAAGTGTGACCCTTAGAAATCGGGTAGCTGAAGCTTAGAGAAACAAGGGTGCCTGCTACTGTGCCCCCCACAGTCAGTTGGCCGGGGCTTGTGCTCTCAGAGAGCTGGTTAAAGGCGTTGGAGTGAGTCTCTGCACAGCAACCTCTCTGTTTAGTGGCTTACCCAGACTCGGTTTCCTCATCTGATATATGGGTGCCTGGGTAGTCTCAACTTCCTCACTTGCATTAGTGGTGAGCTGAGGCGCAACGAAAGCACCAAGCAGGTATTAGCACACACTAATTAATATTAATATGAGGGCAACAGAAAGTAATAAAATGATGAACATATGGTGAGAGCTCAGAGGAACTGAAGGGGACAGGAAAGTCCTCGGCCTTCCTCCCACGTTATGGCTTGGAGTCTCAGTTTCCCCATATATCAAATGGAGACCCCCCCCCACCCTTTTCCATAAGGCAAAAAGCACTTTGAGAAGCGGATGGGTCAGAGGGGGGCAATCGCAGCGCGCTTCGCCCTCCGCCTCAGTTTCCCCTGGCCGCCGAGGCCCCGCCCCCGGCAGGCAGGCCAGGTCCTCTCGACCGCGCCCTCTCCCCGCCCGCGCAGAGGCCTCACCTGGAGCCCGCGTCGCCGCAGGAGACTCGGCTCGTCCATGGCCCGCTAGTCCGTGCTGCCAGGCCCGCCCCCGGCCCCGCCCAGGCTTTCTGGGCCCCGCCCCCCCGTGCCATTGGCTGCGCTGGTCAGCTCCGCCCCACCCATCCCCGGAAACTCGCTTGGATGGACCGCCCCCAATGGGGGAGCTGGCTCCGCCCTTTCAGGCCCCTCCCCACCAGAGACAACTGGAAGTAAACATTTTGCTGTGATCTTTCCAGCAATAAGGGTGTAGTGTCATCCCCATTTTGCAGATGGGGAAACTGAGGCGCAGAGAATTTAATCAGTGTTCCACGGGCACACACAACAGACCACGCAAAATTTAAGCCCATTCCCCCAAAGCTCAGTAACTAAGATACATCCTATTTTAACACAGTATTTAAAAAATCCAAACAAATGCAAAATTCACAATGCACTAAATATCAAAATGTTAAGACAAGGTCAGACTCTGCCCTTTCATGATCCTGACTCTCTTGCTGTCTGCTAATTCTGGTCTGGTGCCAATAAAACTTTTATTTATAAGAATAGCTGGCCACTAGAGTGACCAGTTCCTTTTTTTGAGTTGAGGATTGCTGCCTTTACTGAGTGTCAATTGGATAGCTGCCCAAGTATCTCACAACCAACTCATCTCACAGGTATCTGATGACAATTGTTAAGCTGCACCTTGCAGAAGGGAGACTTAGCGTGGAAATAGCCCAAAGTTCCAATATGGCACCCATTCTCTCTTTCATTGGGAGTACTATGTCCCTTCAACTTCAGTTTCCTTGCTGCCCCATTATTTGACCTGAACATTTTATTTCATCTTATTAAAGATTTATTTATTTGTGCATAAAGAACTGGGATCAGGCCAGAGGTGTGGGGTGGTGAGAGGATTCACCAGACGAACAGTGGGGAGCAGAACAGACAGATGGGGTAAAACACACTGCTGAGGGGAGCAGCGGGCAGGCAGACAAGGCAGCTGTGCCACGCCATGTGGGTCACCTCCCTGCCCAGGGGTTGGGGACCTGCTGCTGATAGCTTCACAGTGCTGCACCAGGGAGGACATTTTAAAGGATTTGTTCTAAAGCTGGAGGGGATTCTAAGGCATTTCCTCTGCCCAACTCCTGTGAAGCAGTATCCCACCAAGTTATAGTAACCAGACTGAAAGCATAAAAGCACAGGACTCAGGGCAAAACTTTTAAATTGACATGTAATTCACATGCCATAAATTTACCCTTTTAAAAGTTCAATTTGTTGGTTTTTAGCACATACATGGAATTAAACAATTTTCACCACTATGTAATTTTGGAATATTTTCATCACCAACAAAAGAAACTCCACCCCTATGAGCAGTTACTCCCCAACAGCTGCCAACCACTTATTTGCTTTCTGTGCCTATGAATTTGTCTGTCCTGGACTTACAACATGTGACCTTTTGTTTTTGGCTTCTCTCAGTTGGCATATTTTCAAGATTCATCCACCTTGTAGCAAATACCAGAACCTCTGTCTTTTTTTCTGGCTGAACAATATTCTAATGAATGCACCGCATTTTGCTTATTCATGCATCCTTTAATGGACATTTGAGTTTTCCCACTTTTTGGCTGTAGTAAACAGCGTTGCCACAAACACTGAAGTACAAGTTTTGTGTGGACATATGCTTTCAGTTATCTTGGTAGACACTTAAGAGTTGTGAAGCTGTTTTAGTTTTCTAAAAAACAATCAGTCTGTTTTCTAAAACAGCCACTGTCATGGGCTGAATTGTGTTCTTAGAAAATTCGTAAGATCCTCACCCCTACCTAATACCTCAGGATTTGGAGACAGGGCTTTTAAGAAGTAAAGTAACATGGATGAGGTCACATGGATGCATGTTAACTCTATCTACTGGTATCTTTATAACAGAGACCAGGACATTGACATGCAAGGAGGGAAGATACTAGAAGTGACAGGGAGAAAACAACCAGCTACAAGGAGTGAAACCTTGGTCTACACCTCTTGTGTTCAGAACAATGAGAAACTAAATTTCTGTTGCTGAAGATACTCAGTCTATGAAGCTTTATTATGTTCAGTCACAGCACATTTATACAGCCGCCTAATTAAATTTATTTTCAGATGAACAGTGAATGGTTTTTCAGCATCTGTCCTGTGCAATACTTGAGACAAGTTATGCTGACAAGTTATGTTGTTATTCCAAAATTGTAGTTTAGCCTGGCATCTTGTGTTTTATCTACGACCCTACATTAAAAGGACTTCAGTTTGGGGCTTGCATACTCCAGGTGATGTATACTCTACGATGCATACCCCTTTATGTTGTATGCCCCATAATGGCCAACTATTAATGTCCCTGGTTACTCCTGCCTAGAAGTTCTCCTGTAGTCCAAACTGGAGTGGAGGTGTAGTCCAACCAAACAGTTTACCTCAGCCATTACGATTGGTTCAAGGAGGACATATAACTCAAGCTCCAAACATCAGTTTTCCTGGGATTTTGGCTTGAATCCTGGGTGTAGAAATGTTGTTCCCTGGTCTGGAGATGGATGGGTTGGGCAAACAGGGAGTTGCTGAAAGTGGAGCCATCAGAGGGCATCTAATGGCCACACCCCATCTGGAGATTTCCTGCACCATAACTCCTTCCTAAATGGGTAAGAGAAAGTTTTGTTTATTGACTGAATAAATGAAATTTTTTCATGTTGAACTCCTATGACTCTCTCAAAATCTGTATCAAATTCTTTTTGAGAAGCATCAGGTCACATTAGTTTCTGAATGAACAAATAGAATTTTTTCTTGCTTCTATGTATCCATCCCATCAAAACCCTCCTCAAATGTTTCTATGAAGGGCATCAGGAGAGTGATTATTGGAGAAATAAGGTTTTTTTCTTGGTACTGTTCTATGTATTCTTTAAAACATCCTCAAGTGAACCTCTGAGGGCATCAGAAAGTCCTGCCTGAATGGATGGAAAACGTCCTTATTGCTGAACAATACCTATAAGTGTGTTTTTTAAATGACCTAATAGATTTTCTTCTTGAAACTCCTACTCATACTTCGACATCCTTTTTAGATGCCCCTTTAGGGTATAAGGGACTCTTCACCACCTGGAGGGGAGCTCAGTCCTCCTTGGGCTAAAGTTGAAAGTCATCCTCCCCAGGAAGAAGGCAAATGCTGAGTGGGTGAAGTTCTGTGGTTCCTCCTCTCAGGATTTCCGGGGGGCCCAGTAACCAGATCCTTCCTGCTTTCCTGCCCTCCCCCCTTTTGTGAGCACGTGAAAGTAGGACAGCCCTGAGGGTATATACAAGTCGGGCTTCTGAGGCAGCTGGAAGGGATCAATAAGGGTCCTCAGGTGTCCTAGGGCAGCCCACAGGCAGGCCAAGGGAGGTGGATGTGCAAAGATTTGGGATGGGGGGGAAGGGGCTGCTGTCAACCTGAGGGTAGAAGGGTAGAAACACCACCTTGCATGGGACTGGGATCCAGCTTACATACCACTGTGGCTCCCAATAACCTTTGGGAGAAAGTCCAACCTTTTAAGCGGCGTGAAAGACACTGTCTACTTGCCCATCTTCTGGCTCCTACAGAACCATCTCCATCTTGATGGTCCCCAAAGCATGTTCTCCAAACCTTTGTCTCTGCCGTGCCCTTTGTTAGCAAAGTCCTTTGATTCTATAAACCCAACTCAAGAAACCCCTTATCTGGGCAGCCCTCCCTGTTCTCCCTTGGAACTTTCCAGCTTCTTTCCCTCCCTCTTCCCAGCCCTGAAGCCAAGGAGCTGCAGATATTGGTTTCCAGTGGCTGCTCTGAAGTTAGAGAGATGGGAAAGAAGTGAGACAATTTCAGAGGTCCCTAGGGCCCCCCAAACACTGATTGATTGTACTGACTGTCTGGTGGTGACATCCTCCAGAAACTGGGTTCCCCTTCACCGTTTCTAAAACCCAGTTTTAGTGGGGTGGGGCAATGTGGGAGACGTAGGGGTGGGAGACGTAAGGGAGCCCAGCTTGGTGGAGTTGGGAAATGGGAGCAGTCCTGGGGCATGGAACTTACTCCCCAAGAGGTAAAGCCGAGCTTCACTGAGGCGTGCTCTATCTTAGGGTTTGAATCAATCTCTTCATCTTCAGCTGGGGCCTCAGCTGGTCTGGGCACCTTTGAGCTCAGTTCTCAATTTGTAAAGTGGAGTGTGTGATGGTGTCTCCTGGTGGGGAGGGCGGCGGACAGGACCACAAGGGGTGGAGGAGTTTGTCCCTATGACCAGTGCTCTCTTCTATCTGCTTCTCTGTCACTACCCCTCCCCCCAGGCCTCACATGGAGTCCCTGCCACCACTCTGCCCCCTGGGCCTGGCCTGGGCTCCAGTGTCCATGAAGGCTGCTCTGTGTAGGTCACGGGTCCCCACGCCCACTGTGCCAGGCCTGGGACACTGCCTCTTTGTTCCTATGGCTCTGACCTCATGTTTTGCTGGGCGCCTGACCCTGACCATCCAGCTGCTTCTCAGGAACTGGTTCTCTGAGGAGGGGCTTTTCTCCCAACCTGCCAGGGCCTCAGTTTCCCCTGAGAGGTCTTCACTTGGCTCCTCATTCCCCTGGGCTTCTGTGAACATATTTCTTTCAAATGTGAAAATCATACAATAATTTTAAACTGCAATTGAGTTATATTTGACATGTTTACCACTATCTAGCTCCAGAACATTCTATCACCCCAAAAGGAGACCCTGTCCCCATGAGCAATCACTTCCCGTCCCCCTATTCTAGCTTCTGACAATAACCAATCTGCTTTCTGTCTTTTAGATTGTTCTGGACGTTTCAAACAAGTGAAATCATTCAGCATGTGGGTTGTTGTGTTTGGCTTCTTCATTCGGCATGTTTTTGAGGTTCGCCCACTAGGAGAGGGGTGCAGTGTCCACCAAGAGCTTCAGAATGATTAGTTAGAAGAGTGAACTGAGCCATTCACGGACACTGGGCTCCCTCCCCAAGCGCCCACCATCCTGTGTTGAAAACGCCCGCCTCAGGGCAACCTGAAGCACCTCCTTGCTTCCTTTAGACTCAACTTGATCTTTTCTGCGTTTGGTTGTCAGCCTCTGTGGGTCTTCATCTCTGACCCTGTGTCCTCACCATCAACAAAAGCCCAAAATGTCCATGGAGAATAGTTCATTCATACTGCAATGTGAGGGAACCTCACAAACATCATGAGGAGTGAGCAAAGCCAGAAACGACCTCCCATACATTGATAAGAAATGTCCAGAACAGGTAAAATCCTCTGTTCTCCTGAGCTCATGTGTGTGGGAGACTTAGCGAGGGCATAGAGCTGCAGGTGGCCCTGGTGGTTGGCCCTGGCGTCCACTTAGGGTCTGGACTAGCAGAGTTGAACCTGGGCTCCATCTTGGTCTGGGGCCAGCAAAGTAGACCCCAGATCCTGATACTCTGCCTTACCACAGGGTGTGTCTGTGGCTGTAATGAGGTCACCACCACCAGGCTGGCTTCCTGAGTTTCTCTTTCACTTTGACTTGTCCCACGAGGGACCGTGACATGTGACCTTTTCTTAAAAATCCTTTTAGTCTCTTTCTTGCTCAGCTTCAACGTATTCCAGGCTGAGGACAGGGTAGCTGCGGCCTTGCAGGCAGCCAGAAGCCTCTCTGGAGAGCAGGTTCCCGCATGGACTCGATGGGGTGCCCAGTGGCAATGCTACACTGCTCCCTCCTCCTCCTCCTGCTCGATGGGCAGGGTGGTGAGTCCCCTCTGTTAGTCCTGGCTCCTCCAGGGGAGCTATGTCTGTGGAGGGCCTTGGACTCATGTTCCAGGGTGGGTGCTGTTTCTCTGTGCTTCAGTTTCCCCTTCCATCAAGGGGGAGATGGATGATCATGGCCTCTGGGGTCAGACATGGACAGCTCTCTGGTCTTATTTTCTCTTCTGTGGAATGAGCTGAGTCTTGGAAGCTTTCCTACCTCTCAGAATGATAAAGAGCAAGTATGTACATAAAATATAAATACTATAATAAAAAGAGACTACTCTCCCTCCATATTGTGGAACATGGGGCCATTCCATATCCAGAGGGGATATTGGGGGTGAGTGGATTAGGCTTCTGCTCCCTGCTGCTGTGGGACCTTGGGCTAGCTCTGGCTTTCAAGTTCAGTTTTCCTCTCTCTAAACGGGATCAGCAGGTCTGATGCAATGAATGCCTGGAAAGTTCTCAGCAGGGCTGGCCACACAGCAAGGTTTCAGGCCTCAGGGGTCAGGTAGGGGTGGAGACCTGTGAGGAAGGGAATCAGGGCGCCCCACCTTGCTCTGGAGGAGCAGCCTGAGAGATTTATGGGTGGGTGGATGGATGGGTTAGTTGATAGACGGATGGGTGGTTGAATTATTGAGCGGATAAATGGGAGAGTGGGTGGATGGGTAGGTGGGTGAGTGAATAGTTGGAGGGATGGATGAGTGGGTGGGTGGGTGGTGGGTGGGAGGTAGGTAGTGGGTAGGTGGGTGATGGGCAGGTGGATCTGGGGAGGTGAGTGGATAGGTGTGAAGATGGGAAAGTGGTGAGGTGGTACATGGTCACTTGGTGAGCCCCCAGGCTGAAGCTGCTAGGGAGGCAGGAATGACATTATGTTTTTGTTGCTTCTGCAGCTGAAGCCTGTGATGCCGGTGAATGCTGTTTTCAGGACCTGCCCTATCCAGACGTAGAGCCAGGTCTGGGGCAGTACACAGTGTGTGCGTGTGTGGGGTGGAAAGTCAGAGCCGGGCTCTAAGGGACCCATCCCTACCAGCCCCTTCCTCAGCCCAGTGACTCAGTTCCACCAGGGATTCAGTGAATCCCATCTTCACTTAGCTCAGGTATCTGGGAGCCACTAGTTACCTGCCTCCCTTTAGCTTCATGTCCTCCCTGAAGGGTCAAGGGCTGTGTGTGTTCAGATCGCCCACCATGTGGGACTAAGCAACAATTAAACATTTTGAGTCTGCAAGCCCCAGCAGACTGCTGGGAGATTTCTGCTTGTGATGCCCTCGTTGGGGGTCTGCTGTTGAGCAGATGCTTCATCCTTTATTTGGTTTTTCTAAGATTTATTTTTATTTATTTATGCATACAATAACTGGGGTATAGGCCAGAGGTGCAGGAGGTGAGAGGATTCATCAGAGACAAAGCAGGGAGCAGAACAGGCAGATCTACTGAAATATGCTGCTGAGGGGAGCAGCAGGCGGGTCAGGAGAGGTCTGGCACAGCATGTGTGTCAGCTCCCTGGCCGGGGATTGAGCTCACACTGCAGTGGCTGGTGATAGCTTCATAGTGCTGAGACTTTAACCCCTGTGCCACCAGGGAGGCCCCTGTTCAAGAAATATTAAGGAGCACCTACTATGTGCAGGCACAGTTTTGGACACGAAGGAATCAGCTGTGAGCCCAGCTGTCCTTCTGGAAGTCACAGCCTAGTGTGAGAGGTGGACAGATGACAGGTAAACACCTGTGAAGGCACATGTCACTTAGCAATGGGGCCATGCACTGAGAAGTTCATTGTTACACAGTTTTGTTACTGCACAGGCAGGGTAGGATGTAATTTCACACGCCTAGATGGCCCAGCCTACTGCATGCAACGCTCAAGTAGAAACTGGAGTGCCCAGTCTGGGGTGCAGGTGTACCAGGCAGAGGGCACAGCCGGTGCTGAGGTGGGAACCATCCTGGTGTGTTGACTTCGGGTGAGGTGACTGGTGTGGCTGGAGCAGGGCAAGCAGGGGGCCGTTGGGAAGGGTGCGGGCAGCTATGGTGGTCACCAGATAATAGGTGTCACAAAGACTTACTCCAGGACTGTCAACATGGGGACACCCCCCTCCACACACACACACACACACACACACACATTGCTGTCCCTTTTCAAATCCCCAGGGTCTCCTCCAGCCTCAGACTCTGGCCCCAGGAATCTGAACTGTTACCGGATACTCAGCGCCAGTTACGAATGCACCTGGCACTACGAGGGGTCCAGGGCAGAGGTCAGCCACTTCCTGAGGTGCTGGTGAGGACCCCACCCCTGTCTCCACACTCCTACCTGCCCTCCAGTCCTTGCTCTCCCCCCTGCACCCTGCCCTCGGGTGGGTGACCTTGACAGGATCCTTGCTTTTGGGGGGATCCAGTTTTCTCCTCGAGAAGGGACGGCTGGAACTCGGTGCTTGGCAGGAGGTGGGGGGCTGGCTTGGAAGATTGGGGGAGTGGGCAAGGATAGTTGCTAGGACCCCTATTCCCTCTTCCATCTGCTCCCTCTCCCTCACTTGTCCATTCATTCATTTTTTCCTTTGCATTGATTTTTGATTCTAAAATTGGCCTTACAGTGGCACCCCACGCTGGGACATTTTGGGGTCCCCCAAGCGCCTCAGCGCCAGGTTGATCACCAAGGAAACTTGAAGCTGAGATAGACTTCTCCATCTCGCCTGCTGCTTCTCTCAGCAGTGTATTTCAATAAATCCGCCCTCTCAATTCCCTGCTCTGTCTCTGGTGAATTCTTTCACCCCCGTACCTCCAGTCTCACCCTGATATTTCTCATCACTACAATAAGCTTGATACTACTGACACATCAAACACATTAGAACCTGGAAAATGATCATTCAACCAAAACACACACTATTTTTCAAATCAATGGAACTTGAAAAAATATTGAGCCTCTAATTCTTAATTTCAGCTGCAAATGTATTTCTGCTTTCCCTTTCTCTACCTTCCTTTTCTCCCGAGCCTGTAGCTGTCTCCTTTACCTCTACTCCTGAGCGAAGATAAGGTGTCTTTGGAAAACCTTGTTTCTGCTAAGTGACATCTCCACCTCTTAATTTTGAAGCGCACTGCTGTATCTATCTGCTAGCACTTTTCACACTGGTTTCAATCTCTTCCTCTTTACTGCCTTGTGTTTTCAGCTTTTAAACATAAACAAGGCTATTCTACCTTGAAAATCGAAACAAAACAATTCTGAAAAAGAGAGAGGGAAAAAAAATGAAACTTCAAGTAGGTAAGGGGAAGTAAGAGCAGTAAAGGGCTGGTGGAATTCTGCGGACCCACCCAGGCGCCCAGACTCAGCGCCTGCGTCCCTCTTCCTGCAGCCTCAGGCCAGGGCGTTGCTGCTACTTCAAGGCTGGCTCGGCCACCACGCTGCAGTTCTCCGACCAGGATGGCATACCTGTGCTCCGCGATGTCACCTTCTGGGTGGAATCCCGGGTTGCCAACCGCACAGAGAAGTCGCCTGCGGTTAACTTGACGCTGCACAGCTGGGGTCAGAAACTTGTTCTATTTCTCTTCCCTCTTGCCCCCTTGTCACCCAGCGAAGCTTCTGGTTTCCAAACCTAGACCTGAGGGGAAGGGAGATTGTGGGTGTCTGCAAGCGGCTTGATGATGAAGACCATGCCCACGCCAAGAACTGTCCTGCCGTGCGGCAGTGCCGTCCACATCCCCTGACCAAGCCCCAGCCGCTGAACAGTTGGGTTGCATCGGCTTTACCCCCAATACACAACGCTGCTGGGGCCCAGGTGTGTCCTTAATGCCTGTCTTCATGACTCAGCAACGAGCATTAGATTCATTGAGCGCCTACTGCCTGCCATGTTCAGTCTTAGGGGACACAGGTGAGGCCACCTGAGGCTGCCGGGTCTAGATGAGGCAAGTGAGCATCTCCCCTAGGGCACAAAACTGTATTGGGACGCCCAGAGCACTCCGGACGCAATATGAGAAGCTTATTGAGTATTTTGCTTGTTTTTTACTTAAATTTATTTATTTATAGATATATTTACATCATTGTTTATTTTTTTTTCAAGGCTTGCATTGGCATTTATTGCCATAGTACAAAATTTCTAGGTTAAATGTTTCTATGGCATAGAACCTTATGATACTTACTACTTTTTGTAACTGGATTGCATTTTAGAATCTATTTTTAAAAATAATACAATAGTTTATTTTTACATCATTCTGTGCCCTTTTCCATCTCCGTTGTAATCCCCGGAGGCTTCCCATCACCAAATCACCCATGTGCCTCCCCACCCCCCTACCTCCATTTTTGATCCCATTCCCCACTCCACCCCTGTAAAATGTCCCTGATATGTAGTTGTTCATTATTGTTATTATTTTCTCCCCTGGTCCTTTAAACATATTCAGTATTTTTAAAGATTAAAGTTAATGCAAAAAAAAATATGTGATAAAAACAAAATAACCTGTGTGTGCAAGTGAACCTTGCTTCACTTTTCTCCTCCTAATGCTGGTCCTGTCCCTACCTTCAAGGAGACCAGATTTAAGTGGGAGTGGTAGGAAAGGTATGGTGGTTACACCTGGGGTGATACCCCCGTGCTCAGGGAGGTCTTAGCTCAAATTGACTCTGAAGGTTCAAAAGGATTTAGCAGGAATAAACTGTGTGTTCCAGGCAGAGATCACAGCAAGAGCAAAGGGCCTGAGGTAGAATCAGGTATGGTACAACCAAGATGTAGGAAGAAAGCTAGATGCTTTTCTTTAGGTTAGGCTCCTTGAAATTACAGTTGTGCGTTGCTGAATGATGTTTTGGTCAAGGCTAGACACGTGTAGATGGTGGGGCGGTAGCCTGTGCCAGCTAGGTTTGTGTAGTTACACTAAAATGCTTACACAATGGTGAAATTGCCTAGTAGGATGTGCTTCTCGGAAGTTGTCCCAGTTGTTAAACTATGCATGACTGTAGGATTTCCCTAGTAGTCCCTTAGAAAAATGGAATTGAAGATTTACCCGCTTGTCAGCAATTTACAAAAATGCCTATCTTACCACAGCTTTGCCAACAATGAGTATTGATAATATAAAGATATTTTCACTAACAGAATCCTCTCTATAAATCTGGACTCTTTGACCCACAGATCTCCACGCTTAGATGGTCCTGCAAAGGTGTCCCTGAATCACATCTGGGGGACTCAGTTTGGTTACTCTGGACCAGACAGGGTATGGGTAGATTTTTTTTTTGGAAAATGTTTAGGACTAGCAATTCACACACTGGCTGGCTTCTCCTCCACTCCCACCTCTGCTTCCAGTTAAATATGATGCTCCTGCAAACATGAACGTGTCCAAGTCGGCAAACCAGCTGCTTGTCAGGTGGAAACCCCCAGCCCATCAGGATAACGCTGAGGTGCAATTCAGGCATCGGATAGCTGGTGGCCCATGGAGTTGGGTGAGTTTGGCCCCCAGGTCAGGGGGTACACAGGCCCCTCCCAGGCTGACTTCATCTCCGACATGTCTCACCATCTCTGCCTCTGTCACCCCACTCTCACCTCTAGCTTCGCTCTAAATTAGACCTAATGTGACCTCGTCCATACACCCCCAAGGCTCTGTCACCCTGGCCTGCCCCCGTCCTCTGTTCTGCCTGGCCCTTGTTCTCTGCCATGCCACATCATCTAGATTTATTCATCCACCCGTGGACCCTGATGTTGTTTCCACAGCGGGACTATTATAAACAACGCTGCGATGAACATGGGGCACATACATCTTTTAGAATGAATGTTTTCATTTTCTCCGTC